CCTGAAACCGAAACTCAATATTGAGTTTTGACCTGTTTCAAGAGTCACGGTAGCATTAACGTTGTGCTGTCTGTGGGATTCTGTACCTGATTAAGGGCAAGTGGTTCGTGAGTTCGTTCACCCGTCTATGCAATCTAATTACCACACGAATTACGAGCGATCTGTTGCGGCAACTGCAAGATGAGCTTCGCTTATATTGTGTGTGGTTAATTAAAGTAGAGTAATCATGGCAGTTTCCTAAGGGAGTGCTAACAGTCGGTGTACCCGTACATGGTCGTGAGCGATGGAGAGCTTTCACAGGACTGGTCTTGTACTGACCCACACTGGGTGGAAGCCGCGGGTGTCCTGTCCGACACAATATAAAAGTATTAATTTTTTTATTGCTTAGACGGGTGGACGAGCTCACGGCCCACCTGGTATTAAGCGGTTACCGGAGCCCATAGACATTTAAATCGTAATCTACAACGTAAATGCCGCTACCCAGCTTGAGACATGAGTTCTAAGGTCGCACTTTCAACAGTATTATTACTATTACTAACAGTACTATAAAATTACTATTGAAATGCAATTGTTACCTGACCGTGCGCCTCATTGGTAACCGCGGATTGTAGCTGCTTAATGTCAGTTGAGTCGTGTGCTCTCTGTTTATTTCTGAGACAAAAAAGTAATTTTAAGAGTAAGATTATAACAGATGACAACAAATTAGTCTTCAGTACACTGGCATCTTAATGGTGGAGCGCGGTCGGGCGCAGAGTACAACATGTTACTTTATTAGTACGTACGAGTAGGTCGCGGCGTCGGCGCTAAGTGGCTACAAGTTTCGCACAAATCGGTCGCTAATATACACTCTAAGAGTAAAGTAATAAATAAATGATTGCCCCCGGGGGCGACGTCGTCGCAGCCCTCATGCACTCCTGCGATCAATCAATTTTGCTAAACATCTTGATCCACTTTCAGAAAACTGTGTACATATCGGATTAAGCACAGAGGGCTACATAGTTATAATGGAAATTCATACTTTAAATTGACGATAAGCTACAATGAAATCGTTTTGGCTTTAATCTCTCTTTAGCCTGCAACGTCCTTCAAGCCGCAGGAGATGACTGCTTCGCTTATCGCGCGCCTATATTGGTACTGGTGCCCACCGGTGCGGACTGCCAAGACGCCCTGACATAATCAAGCAAGACAAACTAAGCATGTTAATAATTTGTCGTAGCAGCTTTTCGTCAGAGCTGATAGAGGGGAATGGAACTATTACCTATTACCTATTGTTATTATCAGTTTGCAATGCAAGCCCGCAATCGTCAGAAATGTATAAAATCAAACGGCCGTACTCCTGAAAGCGACCCGCAAAATCAATATTGCGGGTTCGGCGTTCTATGCACGGGCCGATAATAATCAATCAGCGCCAGTGCTCGACAACTGTTCATACAATATGCAATATCCACTAATTAGGCTGATACTATTTTCTAATACTGAAAGAGGATTTTGCGTCAGTTTTGTTCGGAGATCATTCTCCGGCTTAGAGCGGTACTAGATGAAAGACGCCGATCTTAGAAGACGGACCGAGTCCTCAACCAGTCTTACCGGTCATGGGAAGACTAGTCCTTGCACAGCCTCCAGAGTGTCTGCCGCGTGGATCCGATAAAGGACACGTTTTTATCGTTTACGGTAGTACGGAAGTAAAGCGCCGTGCCCTCGTTGCTGCCAACTGTCGTGTTGACGCGACTGATGGAAAAAGTCAACGGTTCTTAGTGAACCTAGTCTCTCTTGTTATGAAGTAATAGACACGAGTAAAGCCTGCAACATTCCGACCTACGCTCGCAGGAACAGTGTTCTCACTTTGATTGGTAGCCCTTAAGTTTTTATTCTTAAATAACAAATGCTAGTAAGGCATAATTTGAGCCCAGGTAGATGGGAACTGTCATCTTGCGTCTCAAACTAGACAGAAGTCTCTCAGGTATCATGGATGCCAGTAGTAGCTTAACAATAGGCAGATCCAGCCTACGTTGTATATCAATAAAAAACGTATAGTTCATCGGGGATGAACTATACGCGGAGAGGGAGTTGCTCACGGACATTGCGACAGACGAGTAGGCTTGCTACATAAAAATCCTTTCAACACCCAAACACCAGAAGAGTTTAGCGTTGGTTATCATTGGGAAACAGAGATTTCGAAGTGAATCATGCAGAAATGGCGTATTCAAAATAGGCCGCGATTTACTTTTATTTCTCACATTGTCTATTTTTATGGGCAGTGGTGACTTTCCGTGGATTGTTCCCCGAGCTCGTTTAGCACTGTTGGCAAAGATGGAGCTCTGGAGTATATCTAGAGATGCAAAGTCATATTTCAAAATTACTGGAGAAAGGAACCCTGTCCACTATTGTCGGAGCAGGTGCCTATGCCATGTTTTCTTGAATAGCCTGCGAACAAACTTTCTCCAGCACACAGCCCTACGACTATAACCCTTATCTTAACAAGCGTCGTTATTGAGGCACGATGCCTCTATAGCATGCAGCCTCTCATAGATGATTCTATAGCAGAGTAATTGTTTCAATCTAAAAACATGTATCACTATAGACGAAGTTGCAATTAACAATAAATATCGAGTGTTGACGTAAAAGTAAATGTTTGAGAAGGACATAAAATATGAGAAAAGTCACTGCTTAACTTAAATTGTTCTTACAAAAATTTTAGTTCTGTAGTTTCAGGTGAAATGTTTTCGTCTGAGAGCGGTGTTTACCTACTTAGAGTTAATTAGGTTGAGCAGGAGCGGCGCGGGTGGCGCGACTCGCTTCCCATTAATTCCATTATAAACTTCCTTAATTGTGTTAATCTTACCAAACGAGACGAGTTCGCGCAACTTTTCGCATTCAGAGAGAACAGCGCCAATTATCTAACAAAAAGACTAGAGATAATGAAATGAAAGGGTGCCCCGCGGCTCCGCCCGGCTGCCCTGCGACCGATGGCACTTCGTCTCGGACGTTTGCTCCCTAATACCTCATTTGTCTGCAGCGCGCTATAAACAAAATCAAAGAATAGNAATCTTACCGAACGAGACGAGTTCGCGCAACTTTTCGCATTCAGAGAGAACAGCGCCAATTATCTAACAAAAAGACTAGAGATAATGAAATGAAAGGGTGCCCCGCGGCTCCGCCCGGCTGCCCTGCGACCGATGGCACTTCGTCTCGGACGTTTGCTCCCTAATACCTCATTTGTCTGCAGCGCGCTATAAACAAAATCAAAGAATAGCGAAATTATGCGAAGTGTTGCAAATAAAATTTAACGAGTGCCGGTCGCCGCCCGTTTTATCTGTGTTCGAATCCGCTTGGATCGGATAATAGCTTTCCCTGTATCAGCAATCCCTTCCAATATACTTCCTAACGAAGGGATCAATAGCGCGTGAGATTCGGCACTAAGGTTGTTATAGCTACGTACGGGAATGTCTGTCCAGTGCGGCTAAAGCCTATTAATACATTTAACTATTTCTAAATTCAAGGAGAATAATGCAGGGACAGGAATCATCATTCACTAAGTCAGGTATAAGTGAAGTAGCTCTAACGGTGCAAGCACCAGGACACCAGTCAGTAGCACCGGTACGTGTCTCCATTTTGGGAAACCGTTTCAAGACCGGCACTCTACTGATAATAGTTTGCTTGCTGTTAATCAGACCATACAAAATGTATGCCTAAACAGGAAGATAAGTGCATACTGTGTACATCTGTGTAGTGCAAATCGAGGCGAAGGGGTGGGCTTCCTTGAAACACTGCTGCCACTACATCTAGTATTAGGATGTCAACATTAGCACAAAGTATGCCTGTTGTCCTTAACGCGTTTCAAGTTTTTGTTGATTTTTTTATTCTATGAATGTTACTGCGATACTTATGTTATTTGTACTTGTAAAGAATAAGCACTTAGTTTTGAGTTTTGTCTATAGAATGCTGTGATGAAGCGAGAGCCATACGCAGAGTCGACAAGAGGAGGCCTGCGCCGCCGCGCCGCCGCGCCGCACGGCAGGAAGCAGTCAGTCCGCACACGCCTCCATTATTCAACTAAACGATCGAATTATGTTATCCAGTTGCGCTTAAATCTTCGTGAATCGATTCTTGGATCGTTGAGTGCTCGCGCCACAGGTGCATTAAAATCTCGACACCCAAATCAACTTGTTTATTTTACGAAAAAAAGTTTGCCTCTTTAAAACTATCTTTAAAATATAGTTAAAACATTATCTGTTCAAGTAATGTGGGTCAGCGCTCTAAACAATAGCTTACCAAATCTTACCCCTTCATAGGTATACAAACACACTCAACGGGATATAAACCGAACTTTTTATTTTCTACACATCGTCATAAAATCGGTTTTGAACCCTAACCTGCCTCAATCGTGTGGTTTGTGTTTAAGAATCTCAGCAGACAGATAAATATTAAAAGGTTATTTAAAGCAAATTCGTGATTTTCACTATTCCTTGTACAGTTCTTTTAACGATTTGTTTTCTGGATCAATTGTTTATAATATTTTTTGTGATATTTTATGATAGATTAACAGAGATACGGAAAGGTAACAATTAGGAGAAGCAGTAGAGAAGTAGGTGGTACGTGGCGCGGAGGAAGCAGGCGCAGTGTGGTGGGCGGGCGGCGGCGTGCGTCGATAGCGGGCGGCGGCGGCGGCGGCGGCAGTGCGCGGCGCGGGTCGCTCGGGCCCGCCACGTGCCGCCGCCGAAATAGAATTTACGAGCGTCGAGTGTCGACCGATCACACGCCAGTCGCGCGCCTCCCTCCGCCGCCCGAGGGCGTACCCTGCTCTCACTCTTCTCGCATACTCGCATCTGATTCATCACAATACTCGGGAAAGTGTCGCTCTTACGTTCCGGTGGACATTCGGGGCGCCATCGCGCCAGCGTCGCTATGTAAACAAATCACTGCAACACACCACTAATAAACCGGCACTATTTTGTGGAAGCTTTTATACCGACCTGAAGACAGTGATGTGCAGAATTGTAGTTTCTTTGAATTTTTAACACTTAATAATAATATGTAGATAGTATTATAGCTGATAGCGGATACGTCAAGATGGAAGGCGCCAAAAGCTGAGCCTTCGTCGTTTGTAAAGTAAGTCGTGCTGGTTCCCAGAATCAAGAATATTTTGTATCTTTTCTAATATTTAATTCAAAAGACCACTTTGTAGAGCTGCTGCCGTTTGGTGACGATTGAAAAAATAGTTACATAGTTATTTTTTTCTTCTCAAAACCAGACAGGCAAGCGAACGACTCAGTAGACAGTAACGGGTAATTGTCGCCCATGCTTTAGCTACCAAGTCGTAATGATCGTAAATATAAAGTGTGCAAAAACCTCTGGGTTATTATTAAATATCTAATAAATTAATCTGGAGTATTAAAACCTTTGGATATATTAGTTTTTTACAGTAAATCTGAAACTGACTGTAACAAATATCTAAGAGTTATATTTTAATGAAACGTTTAGCGTGCCCCGGGACAGTGTCAAGATGCATTTGGTGGCCTAATTTCGAAAATACGACAAATCGTGAGGGGAGTTGTCAGCCGCGCTGTTGGCTTGTACAGTACAATAGCACTGTGCCGATTGTGCGCTGTGCATGCTGTTGCAACAGCTGAACAGTTCGCAATCCACACTTGACGTAAGCAGCTTCAGACATCGTCTACTTTGTACAAGAATATTAGCAAATCTATTAGAATAATCTGAATTATGCCGAACTCTGCGCATGAAGTCAAATTATTATAATGTAAACGTATTCATGGGGTTACATTATAATAACTACTGTTATACAAATGAACAATGCGAGGGCTGTTCACATCGCTGACCTGGATTAAAGAAATCTGTGATTAATACTATATGTTTCCATTAATTTTATTATTATGAAGACATCATTCGTTATAATTCGGTAGAAATTACTACACGGGACTAGTTTATGCGATTTAAAACTTTTCAAAATTATTTAATAATTAAATTCAGGGTTACCTGATTCCCAGAACGCATTTATTCGTCGAGAAAATATAATACATTGAACGTCAGACTTAACTTGAAAGTATTCAAATTTAGCATTTAAAATTTACGAGCAACGCGTAAAGGATCGTGCCCGAAAACATTTTACGATGCAATATAATAATAAATAGGGAGCTTTGAACCGGAGTCGGTCTTTCAGAGCGGAGAAGCGGAGAGCGCGGTCTGTGCGAGCGCAGGCTCGGCGGCCACAGGCTGGAGGCGCTGCGCCGACAGTCGCGGCAGATAGCCGCGCGCCGCGTCCGTCGCGTGCAGGTGAGGAGCTCTCTCGAGGCCTTCCTCCCGCCCTCTCCCTCCCGGCTGACGCGGCTCTCTGTTACAGTTCACGGAGCGGACGCGGGATGGCGCACACGGCGCCGACGGAGCCGGTGAGTCTTCCTCGTGGAGCTCAGCGCGTCGTAGTCACGCTAACGCAGCGGCTCGCAGCCCTGGCTAAATATATCGTGGGCGGGCGTCGAGCGACGCCGGTTCGACATCGCACGCGGCGGCTGCGCTCGCGCGGGGCGCGGCCGCCGTGACTCGTTGTGTTGTCTGTGCAGAAAGCGGCGCCTCCGAGATGTCCGGCGGCAGTGGCGGCGGCGGCTCCAGTGCTGACGGGCGGCGTCCCTCCACCTGCCGCGTGGACATGGGCGCGCTGCTGGCGTCCGAGCCGCGCCCGCTCGACAGCAAGGTTAAGGTACGTCCGCTCCCTTAAACCGCCTTTAAGTCGTGAACATATACTTCGCTTATCATCAGTACCGTTACAGGTTGTAACGTGGGAAGCTCTCGTAAGCTTGCTAAGATTAGTGCAGCTACAATGCTGTGGCGATTCATAATAAACTCCATTTACGTGACGTAGCGAATCGCGCGCTCTTCATGTACAAGTGTGCAATGATAAAGTTTAAAAATACACCACGGCACGTACCGAAAGGCAATGTTAGATTCAACGTGATTCTCTGAATGAGGTTAACGCTTTCCGAACTCCTAATATCAATTAGTGAGGGTTCCGTATCATCATAAGGAGTCCGTCGCTCACGAACATTACAAGCTTTTCTTTCATTTTGCAACGCGCCGCCGCGCCGTACTTCGAGATTAGTTTCGTATAGAAGTTGGACCCGAGAGATTATCGGGAACTCTTTGTCGCAGGCGTAGGTATTATGTCTTCGAAAACGAGTTATTGATTTCTCATCGTGTCGCTGTGAGGGACCAGTTGTAGCGAGAGCTCGACACACCTTCGTACAATCAATAAGACGATAACAATATAACTAAAGTGTCTTTATCGAGTTGCCAGCCTGAAGCTAATGAGGCTTTATACTCATAGCAGAGTCGAGTAAATGTTTAGATTTATTCATCAAATAAGCGTTCTGCTTTACACATGTACCTAATCGTAGTCCCAACGGCATTACTTCTATCTATCCTAACCTTCAGAGTAGTACATAGCTATCTTCCCAATATGAGATTGGAACCAGCGCTAGAACACACCAAGGGAGATCATAACTATTAGCCCACGGATGATTCGAATAATTATAAAATTTCACATTTCATACTAGTGGTGAACTCTATGTGTAGAGTTAGTATAGAGTAATCCGTGCATCCGTAGGTGCAGCGCATCTGTAGATCAGTGAGGTGTACCGGGCCGGACGGTCCCGCCGCCAACAATGAGTACCCGAAATGATAAAGCGGCGGAGGCGGCGCTAGGAAGCTACCCGCCGCCCCGACCGACCTCCGCGACCCATTTGCATAATGAGCGCCAGCGACTCAGGCTGGGGCCACATGCGACACCATCGATTCATATGTTGATTCATCAGACGTTCTTATTCGCAACGTACGATGTCTGCAGTTGATAGTTTTTAATAACACAAAATAAGAGTCAATAGATCTATCCGAAGTCATTAGTTTTCGCCAAGGTTAGAGAAGTGATGACCGCGCTGGTGTGGTAGTGTCGCGGAGCCTGGCTGACCCGCTTCGTAGAAGGTGATTATCGCATTTTCATTTCGAACGTGTGGGTCAGGTGCCGGAGAACCCGCGACGCTGTGGCTCGCTACTATTTGTATCTACTACGTACTATTTGTAATCAAGTATTCGGGAAGTTGACGAATATCGCAACTAAAGTGTGTTCACCACGACGAGGGTTTTACGGGATATCTTGAAATAGTCTTGGTGATGGAAACGCCACACGATTAGGAATCCGATTAGAGGAGTTACCGTATTTGAATATTTATAGGTATGCAGTCATTACATTTGAGTTAGCTATTGATTTTTGTGACCGTGTACAATGTGTAGTAATTTCCATTTACGAGCGGTCCCCGGCTCATTTCACTAACCATAACTATCGAGGAATTCCCCTAGGGGGATCAATTTAATTATTTTTTTAGGCTTTGCGACACGAAAGTCTTGTCAATAAGTGTCGACGCGCGGACGGCGCCGTTTGTGTCTCCTTTAGTTCTCAAACTCTTCGTTTATTTATGATATCAGCTAAAATAGGCATATTCTGTAATACTACTTCCATATTACTATACTAACAATTTAATTTAACAGCGGCACAGCATCCACGGGATGACGGAAGAAGAAAATGTGGTTCGACCACATCAGGAGATGGCCGTGCTGTCTTTGGAGGAGAAGAAGTACCTGCTGGGCGTGGAGCGAGGAGACGTGGCGGGGACGCGGCGCGTGCTGCAGCGGGCCCGCGACACCGGACACATCAACGTCGACTGTGTGGACCCGCTCGGACGCAGCGCGCTGCTCATGGCCATTGACAACGAGAACCTCGAGATGGTGGAGCTGCTCCTCGAGTTCGGCGTGGAGACCCGCGACGCACTGCTGCACGCCATCTCCGAGGAGTTCGTCGAGGCCGTGGAGGCCCTGCTCGACCACGAGGAGCGGACCAGGAAGCCCGGCGAACCGAACGTGAGTCATGTACCGACACGCAATGTCCACCACAATGCCTTCCAATATTCATAATTATATATTTTGAGGGCACTGTATTGTGTGCGTCTGCCATTGTCAATTTCCGTGAGCAAAGGTAATCACTTACGATTAGACGAGCCTCTAGCTCGTTTAACCGTAGACGAAAAAACCGAGAAAGTGTGAGTAAAACTTGCGCTTTGAGGGTCCGGCTCCGACCCTCCTAGTGTGGTGCATGTACTGTGCGTGTCACGAATAGACAACATCCAAATAAATGTATAGGTACATACTAATACAATTTGATTATTATCACTCGTACAAGATTTAGTTGCGCGGACTCTGTGCGCCCTTACCCGTCCAGCTGGACGAACAGAAGCAAGGCTTTATACTTTACAGAGGAATGTGACGAAATGAAATAAAGACGAAACAATCAACAATAACAGCATATTTTTAACAGCGGAGTACTTACTATTTTTTTTGTTTAAAACTAGTTGACCCGGCAAACTTCGTAGTGCCTCAATCGATAAATAAAAGACCTAAACTTTAGTATAAACTAAAACTAAAACAAACAAAAGGAATCCTTCCGACAGGGGGGGGACACATCGAAGGGAAAACAAAATTGTTATTTTTATTTAATTATTTTTTTTCTTTTACGGCCCACCTGATGGTAAGTGGTCACCGTCGCTCATGGACGTCAGCAATGCCAGGGGCAGAGCCAAGCCGCTGCCTACCATAAAGTACTCTCCGCAAGCCTCGTTTGAAGAAGGACATGTCATAGCGCTCGGAAAACACCGTGGAGAGGAGTTCATTCCAAAGCCGGATGGTACGTGGCAAAAAAGATCTTTGGAAACGCACGGTCGATTAACGCAGCGGCTCCAGATAATATGGATGAACTCTGCTCCGATGGCGGGAGGTGCGATGATATTTATCTACCTTTTAAACCTTCTCTGGACTTCCACAAATAATTCAAGACCAAAATTAGCCAAATCGGTCCAGCCGTTCTCGAGTTTTAGCGAGACTAACGAACAGCAATTCATTTTTATATATAGGTATAGATAGATATTTAAAAGATAAATTAATTTTAATTACATACAGAAATCGCTGCGATCATGAGCGATTTGGGCATTCTCAATTTGCATGATACATAAAGACAAACTTAACTTTACGGTAAAAAATTGTATCTCCAATAAGTTTTCAACATAACGGTCAATGTAGATGTAACGGTAGCTCAGAAAGTAATGTTGCAAATAAAAAAAATAGTTCAGGGAAATAGAACATATTTTCAGACATTCCCGTAACTTTGTACACAGCGGGACCTACATTTCATTGTTGTATCTATTGATAGTACGATATATGATCATACGGCTGATACCTAACTGTTGGAGTGTTTGGAATATGACCGACGGCTTCATACCCACTACAAAGGCAATCACTGCAATCTTATTTTCTTTAACACCCAATTCCTTATTGTAATTTGATAATGAACACGAAAAAAGATGTGAAATGGCGCAAAATCGAAAGAAGTTTTTAAAATAATATACATGTACCAAATTCAAAATAATTAAAAAGTTGAAAAAAAGAAAAGTTTTTATGTAACAGTATTTATGGCCAGACCAGTTATATATCTATATTATGTGTTGACTGAGAAGATAGATTATTTATATGATTTCTTTTGACCTCAGTGCCTAGTACCTACTAATTTCACCTTGATCTAACCGTTGCGGAGAAATTGTCTCGAGCAGATAAACAGACAGGCAGGTCAAGAAACTGATCTTATAAAGGTTCCCCTTTTTTCTTTTGAGGAGCGGAGACTTTAAAAACAATAAACACTTTGTAACGTGTCGTGGACAGAGTTGGGAGGCGCTTCCGCCGGAGACGGCCACGTTTACGTCTGACATCACGCCGCTGATCCTGGCGGCGCACCGGGACAGCTACGAGATCATCAAGCTGCTGCTGGACCGCGGCGCGCAGCTGCCCGAGCCGCACGACGTGCGCTGCGGCTGCGACGACTGCGTGCGCTCCCGGCGCGAGGACTCGCTGCGACACTCCCGCTCCAGGATCAACGCGTACCGCGCGCTCGCCTCCCCTTCGCTCATCGCCCTATCCTCCAAGGACCCCATTTTGACCGCTTTCGAGCTGTCGTGGGAGCTGCGCCGGTTGTCCGCATTGGAACATGAGTTCAAAACCGAATACCAGGAGCTCCGCGTTCAGTGTCAAGAGTTCGCGACTGCACTGTTGGATCACACGCGGACGTCTAATGAACTTCAGATCCTGCTGAATCACGAGAAGGGTGCTTCACCTCAGGCACCGCTCACTGAACCAGGCGCTCCCGAGCGGATGCGCTTGTCGCGGCTCAAGCTTGCCATCAAGTTGCGACAAAAGAAGGTAATTTGCAATTTGCGATAATACTGCATTGTAATTAATAATAAAATAATTCTGATTTGTCTCAGCTTACGAAAACATTCATCTGAAATTATAAGATATAGCTCCTTACTTTTTTATATTTAATAGAGAAAATTCTGATATTATTTTAAATACAATAATATCGCACATACGGTGCGATAACGTCACTTATGCAAATTATGTAATTTTTCAAGAGAAACATTAGAAAATTCAAATCTTATTATATAATCCTTATATAGTTCTGCTAGGCTATAGAAATAAAATGAACTATAAACTTCATCAGTAAAAGCAAACATCTCTCTCGTCTCACTAATAACTATTAAAAAATGTAATTTTTCATACACAGTTCAGTGTGCGATATGTATAGTTATCGTTTGCGAGTGGTGAACATAGCTCGAGCGTGTTCCGTTTGTCAGTTCGTGGCGCACCCGAACGTGCAGCAGCTGCTGGCGTCGATCTGGTACGAGAGCGTGCCCGGGTTCCGCCGCAAGAACATGCTGCTGCAGGCGGCGGAGATGGTGCGCATCGGCGCCATGTTCCCGCTCTACTCGCTCGCCTACATCGCGGCGCCGCACTCCGCCGTCGGACGCACGCTCAGGAAGCCCTTCATCAAATTCCTCTGCCACTCCGCCAGTTACTTTATGTTTCTATGTGAGTCACACACATCTGCAAATAACACTATTTATTTAACCCGTAATGCGTCGATTGTCAGTTCAGCGTATCCTACAATTATTTCGCAATCATAATCTATACAGACTATAGGCATGTACATTTAAGCAATGATGTGACCACACTAAGAGCTGTAGTGCAAGCAGCTATGAAAAAAATCATTTCAATTTGGTGGGGAACGCATGAACACTCAAAGTCGAACAAATAACCAAAAAACTGTGTTTTCTTGTGCTTTCTGGTAACTTAAGTGGATAACGGGCTGTTCCTGAATTCATAAATTTTTAGCGATAAAAAATGTATATTAATTTGGGAAGGTATCTGTTATGTTAACTCGTTAATTAATCCCGGGACAGAAGAACTTCGATTAGCAAACTGATTGTGCAGATAAAGGTTTCAACGCTAGTTAGCCGCATTACCGAAGTTAGCGGTCAGAGCCAGTAGTCACTAATTTTTTTATACAATTAAAGGGAAATAATGCATAATTGTTCAAGTTCTGTTGATCCTGGCGTCGCAGCGCATCGAGACGGCGCCGGGCGGGCTGCTGTGGGACGTCTCCCACGACGAGCCGCTCTCCCGGCGCGGCTCCATGCCCTCCATAGTCGAGTGGCTCATACTCGCCTGGGTCAGCGGTGAGAACTACTTAGCTACATCTAGATCTCTAGGATCCGCACGGATTTGAACCGCTGTCTAGTCCTATAGTACCGCGAGTCATTTAAGCGTTCCTGTCTCAAGGGTGAGGTAGGTTTTATTCAGATGCAATCATTGTTTACCGCCGTGTCTCACGAACACCAGTGGCAATCACCTTGGTACATAAAAAAATATGCACTACTGGGCTTTCAAGCCTTTGTAAAACAGGACACTGAGCAAAATATTTTCATCGTGCAGGCTTAATCTGGAGCGAAGTGAAGCAGCTGTGGGACATGGGGCTGAGAGAGTACGTACATGACATGTGGAACGTCATCGACTTCGTCACCAACTCGCTGTACGTGGCCACCGTGGCGCTCAGGATCGTCTCGCACTACCAGGTACGCGGGTCGGCAGCACCGGCAGGCACACTCACATACCTGCGATATAAGCAGAACATCGCAAACAGACATGTCTACGTGAATGAATGTTACCCTTGTAGTCTTCAGGCCGGTAAACACCGATGCCAGGGTGGACTGTTAGCCCGCACAGGTCGTTACTAATATTTTACCAATTCACTGGTTAGTACTGGTAATCAGTTTTGTATTAATATTATTTTTTAAATAAATAAAACTGTTTGTCCAGAAGAATGACATGGCCAAGATTTGCCCTCATTTTCTGGGGTAAAGATTGAATGGCAGCGGTAGCAATTATGAATTGAAAATGTTAACTAATTACAAGTCAGACAGGATCCCCCAATCTTTGAGAAACGAAAACTACTCCGCAACACTTTGTATCACGGTTTTGCGAGCTTATTGCGAAAACAACGAATAATAAAAATGGATTTCATTAATGATGTAAAATTTTCCTAAGGCTTGTTTTGAACGGTAGGTTCGTCGCGAGATGGCGATGGGCCTGCAGTGGAACCAACCTCGCGAGAAGTGGGACGCTTGGGACCCGATGCTGCTCTCCGAGGGGCTGTTCTCGGCCGCCAACATCTTCAGCAGTCTCAAGTTGGTGTACATCTTCAGCGTGAACCCTCACCTCGGTCCGTTGCAGGTGTCGCTGAGTCGGATGGTGTTGGACATCCTCAAGTTTTTTGTCTTGGACATACTCGTCATATTTGCGTTCTCATGCGGTCAGTTTAATATTTACTCTCAGGGAAATGCATAGTTTAGCTGTAGCGTCAAGTATAAGTGTTTGTAGACAAGTGCCTAATACCCGCAGTTTTACTAGCTTATTTTACTTATTAACTTTACGTTGCTCGTGATTACCGATGTCGTTGTTGAATCCGGATACGAGAACTCTCTTTTTCAACTAATTAATTATGTGACATCATAATTAATTATATTTTCATTTACTTATTTCACTCGTACGTAACATGTATTTATGAATAGGAACAGTTTCCACGATAAAGGAGTATTATGGTGTAATAAAATCAGATTCGTAAAATTTATAATTTTGGTTATTTTTCGACGATGGATTGCTGTGAACCCACACAGGCACCATCGGCGCCTTGCCTACTTCGAGGGCAAAGCAGCTGGTTTCTGGTCCTTAGAAGGTAGACGTTATTCCTATGAAACATCGACCTCACGTCTCTGGAGTGGCGGAGGCCTTCACGTTGCGATATATCCATCACTACATAGAACCCCGAATAAAGAACTCCCCTTTTATTGATCCCAAAAGGTATCTCTCATACATAATATGTATAAAAGTAAGCATTTGTTGAGTTTCTATAACGGGCAAGGATTAATAAGACACGTGTTCAGTTAAGTGACAACGTATATTGGGATTACAACCTAACGTGCTATCGACAGCCCAACAACCCGAGACTGACGTAGCATCATTGCAATATATTACCGCTAACACATACATATAATTATTAGTTGCTATGGGGATATTTGTGGTCGCTACACATTGTATACACACACACACTCAAATAATATAACAAGTTAGTTTATTACGAGCATGAACCTCAGTTCTCATGGAGCTGTCAATATTTCCAGGGCTAAACCAGTTGTTGTGGTACTACGCGGACATGGAGAAGAAGCGCTGCACGGTGGGCACCGCGCTCACGCCCAACGGCACCCTGCCCGACCCGGACGCCTGTGTCGTCTGGAGACGGTTTGCTAAGTAAATCAATCTATTACCATTATTATTTCAATATATTCATTAAAATCTTATTAAATATATAATATAAAAAACGATTAATAATACAATATTAAAATATATTATTGTTACTCTTATCGCATTCACTGCGGTCGGCACAACGTCTGTTTTATTGTATTTAAAGATTTATCAGCCTTGCGCCGACAAGCTCTCATTGAGAATAACTGGCCATTTAAAATAAAAACTACCTAAACTACTACTATAAAAAATAAGAGGTCAGGGGAGCCAGGAGGGTGCAGTTACATAACGCATGAGAGTATTAATACTATATTTAAATAAAGGGCGGTTAAAAGTAGCAACTAGTTAAAGTCGAACGATTTCTTAAAATGTTTACTGTCCCACCAGTTTTTAAGAAATCGTTAGCTGCTGTTTAGCTATTATAAAATGTTTGGCAAAATTTTGCATTTTGAAAATTGTGGGTAGAATTTTTAAAAAAGCTGTCCTAACTTAAGAAAACGGCAGGTGCATCGTGCGATGGGACTATACCGGTTGATATCTCGCAGGCCGGTACAAATTTTTCTAATGAAATACGTACTGAGTTTTATGTTTAAGAACGTTTTCTATGATAATTGAATAACATTACATAATACGAGTAAAGCTCAAACCCGATAAGTACTATAGGTACAATTGAGACAGACGTCAAGTCTCAAGTTGGCGGTGCACGTTTGGTTTTGTTCCGGTAGCAAATTAACACTATGTGGGCCGTCAGCTCATTTACCCGTTTATGCAATAAAACACCTATACTTTAATTTTGATTGTTGTATAAATTTTATATCAGAAATAGAAGATATAAGAAATACTACATTACTTTAAAAGTTACAAAAATAAAAGTATTGTTTCGTGAAATAAAAGAGCCAGCAAGACCCTGCGCGGTCTCCTCCGGCAGCTCGGTAGATTTACATAATGCGCTCGTAGGTACCTAATTATTTAGTTGATGTGCGTCGCCGCCGCTTGGCCCGCTGCCACCCGGCTCTATTAGGCTTCATTCTACTTCACCATCTGATTTCTGTTTATGTTAACATTCTCAAATGAATTATGTTTATTATAATACTCGTGCTTATGTTGATCGTTCCATTCGCAGCTGAGGCGAGCGACGGTCGCGTTACATTAATTTGACCGAATTATGAGGAGCGGCCGCGTTGGGTTTACTAATGGCTACAATTTTTTTCGAATATTTTTTGCATAGCGCAGTTTTCTCTTTATTTTAATGTAAACCTATTTTGCATTTAGATGTTAGATTTATCTAAGCCAACATGATTGTTTGCTTGAATTGTTTTTTTTTTATTTTTTTATTTTTTATTTATGTTTGAAGGATTACTGGTGGCCCGGAGGCCTTTCCAGTTTCACCAGGACAGGTGGGCGAGCAAAGGCTCAGCCAGGAGGGGTGGGATTACGTACCGTTCCGACGCTGACTTCATGTATTTCTGGAAGCTTGAATTGTCTGACGAACTCGCGGCCCACGGATATAGCGACGTGACTTTCCCCCACAGACTCCATAACGTGAATTTCGTTACGTGATGTGATGTCATGAAGTCTACCCTCACATCTTTCTAACCTGTTAATTTTCGTCAGCTACTTTGAGGAGCTCAAATAAGAAAGAAAGATGGATGGACAAACGGGGGGGGGGGTCAGTAGGCAAGTGGGTACTCAGTAATAGAAACGGATCGTGACGTGAAGTACATATAGCACGAAGTATCAGACACTTTTTATTTCACGCAGAACGGCTGTGTGAAATTTAGAATACTAAATATTATTGTACTTTCACTCAGTTCAATCAAATTAGTTTATGATAGACAACCAGTATGTACATACGAGTAGGTATAGTCGTACAATCAGAGCAGAATTGTCGTATTAACGGTTTAAACTTTTTAAATAGATTTTAATAAAATTAAAAGAAATAATTCAGCGATCCGTTTTAAAATATAAGTTATGTAGGTACCTATGCAAATTTCAGTTTGTTCGAGACAATGCAGACGCTGTTCTGGGCTGCGTTCGGGCTGGTGGACTTGGATTCGTTCGAGCTCGACGGGATCAAGATCTTCACGCGGTTCTGGGGGATGCTCATGTTCGGCACGTACGCCGTCATCAACGTCATCGTGCTGCTCAACTTGCTCATCGCCATGATGAACCACTCCTATCAGCTGATATCCGTAAGTGCCAGCAACACGATGTAACCGATACATGTTATAATAACTTGCTCGTTGTCGCAATTATAATTTTGCGGGTTTGATTTTTATTACACGATGTTATTCCTTCACCGTGGAAGGCAATTGTGAACATTTGTTAAGTCCGTATTTCATTAGGAAAATTGGTACCATCCGCTTGTGGAATTCGTACACCGGTGCATCGCTCGATACGAGTGCACCGGACGTCTTATCCTTTAGGCCACGACGACTTTTATGAAATCTCAAAAATATCATCTACGTTGTAGGAGCGTGCAGATGTGGAATGGAAGTTCGCCCGCAGCAAGCTGTGGATCAGCTACTTTGAGGAGGGTGGAACTGCGCCCCCGCCCTTCAACGTGCTGCCCTCGCCCAAGTCCCTGCTGTACGCCTGGCGGTGGCTGCAGCGCCGGCTCTGTGGGCACGCCCGCGCCAAGCGAGAACANTATGAAATCTCAAAAATATCATCTACGTTGTAGGAGCGTGCAGATGTGGAATGGAAGTTCGCCCGCAGCAAGCTGTGGATCAGCTACTTTGAGGAGGGTGGAACTGCGCCCCCGCCCTTCAACGTGCTGCCCTCGCCCAAGTCCCTGCTGTACGCCTGGCGGTGGCTGCAGCGCCGGCTCTGTGGGCACGCCCGCGCCAAGCGAGAACATATGCGGACTATTAGGGTACATTTGCTTACTGCATATTATATTATTATATATAGGTCTTTACTTATGAAGTTGCCGTTTACTATGAATTCAAATATGCCATGCATCGATACCATTATTTGCCAAGAAGTTGTCCAACCTTTGGAAAGAGTAGAATTCGGGCGGCGTAAGGTCTGGTGACTGGTGAGTAGGTTAAGTGTAGCTCTTGTAGATTGGACAGCGTCTGTTGGCTGTATGAAGTCGCGTGGTGTCGTGCAGGAGCAGCGGAGACGAGCGATTACAAGGCTGGCCGGAGATTATTGTGTCCATTTCCTCATAGTACGCGTCCCCGATAATGCTAGTGCCATTTGGTATTCCGCTGCGACGTGTGAAGCTGTGATAAATTATACCGGCACTAAACCACCAAATGGTGACCATGACTTTGTAGGGATAAGTTTTCCTTTTGGGCATTCCTATATGCTGAACCAGGGGTTAATTAACACGATGACTGTTTACGATTATCAAAAAGAATCCATTTTTCATCGCAAGTGAAAAGCGGATTATAGTTTTATAGTCCTTTCGTTTCTGTATCTGCTAAACAATACAAGGCATATCTTAACCAATCTAGTTCACGGGGCACGCACTTATCAGGTTTTTCTCCTTACCAATTTGAAGTAAATGGACCAATATTGTTTGGATGCTAGCGTTGAAGGCTGCTGCTAACTCAACGGTATATTGAGTGTCGTCAGCTTCCCACTATCGCCTTTAATTCGTTGTTGTTGATTTTAGTTTTCGGGCGACCGCAGCGTTTATTCGGGGTTAAAATTCAAATTTAAATTTAAAATTAGAATTTATTGCCAGCCTAACTTATATTACGTATCAAATGGCCAGTATTGATGGCAGTTGAAACGGCAACTTCAAAGACCTATAATTTAAAAAACAAATTAAGAACTGAATTTCCTAATTAACTTCAAATGTAAATTATTAAATGGATTCGGTTTTCGTCATGAATAGGCGGAATAGGCATCATACCATGTGAACAATGTGACACCATTTGTGACATCATTTTGGAAACTTATTGCTTAAAGCTTGACTTTTATTAGACATTGGTTCCCTGGGCCTGTATCTGAGACGAATGGAAGTAGTGGTTGAGAATAGAAGAAGCCTGTAAAAAACTTCGTCACGTTAGCAACTAAGTTTTGATTAAAGGGCGCTTCTCTAGCAGAAAATATTAATAATGGTGTTTTCTATCAGTTTTACGGTCAGAGACAACAGATCTTGGCGCGCTGCCAAGTAGATATCTGTTATTTGCTGCACTTGATCCATGAACCATTTTTTATTCCGTTTTCATTTTTTGCAGAGAAAGGTGAAGCAAGCCAATGAGAGAGACTTTCGATATCAGGTACGTACGTCTGTTTTATAAAACAAAAAGAGTTTGAAGTATGATGTTGATGCCGCGGATGACTCGACTCGTCCAATGGCGGTCTTCCCACGCGGTGACGTGTACTTAATTGATAACGAAAAAAAGATAGGACATATTTTTTTTTCTGTTTCTCTTGTGAACTTTCTCGTTCAATAAGCGCACTGTAGGAATGATTATGAAATGTGTGAACAGTTGTAAAGATGAGATGCGGTTACGTAGGCTATAATGCGGAACCTGGTGCGTCGCTACGTGACGGTCCAGCAGCGGCGCGCGGAGAGCGGCGGCGTCACCGAGGACGACGTCAACGAGATCAAGCAGGACGTCTCCGCCTTCCGCTGCGAGCTCGTCGAGATCCTGCGCAACTCCGGGATGAACACCTCCACAGCCAACGCGGGAGCTCCCGGTACAACACGTTCGACTGTCCTTGACGGATCCCTAGATAGTTTTCAATAATTGTTTCCTCTTCTGGAATTGAGTTTCGATGGAATTGAACGATTTGTTTACAAATTATGATTTTTGCATTTTTAGAAGTAATGATGTTACGCGCAGGCGGCGGAGGCGGCAAAAAGAATCGTCAGAAGGAGCGACGCCTCATGAAGGGATTCAACATAGCTCCGGGCGGGTCCCTGGCCCCCGTGGACGAGTTCATGTCGCCCGTGTCCTGGCTGCAGCACGACCNAATTGAGTTTCGATGGAATTGAACGATTTGTTTACAAATTATGATTTTTGCATTTTTAGAAGTAATGATGTTACGCGCAGGCGGCGGAGGCGGCAAAAAGAATCGTCAGAAGGAGCGACGCCTCATGAAGGGATTCAACATAGCTCCGGGCGGGTCCCTGGCCCCCGTGGACGAGTTCATGTCGCCCGTGTCCTGGCTGCAGCACGACCACGGCGTGCCGCACTACTCGCTGTCCACGCTGCTCGGGCCGCGCCTGCGAGCCTCCCAGTCCAGCCTCAGCGACGGACCCGGTGCGGACGCGCTCTTCCTTCTCTTCGACATCTAAATTCAAGACTATTGATTGCTTTACTACCACTTGCTTTGTCCTATATAAAATTGGAACAAACCGAAACAATAATTTGCACCCGTAGGCGCCGGGATGAGTGCGTCGCGTCGCAAGCCGCAGCACAAGCGTCGCTGGGGCACAATAATCGACGCCGCTCGGGCGGCCCGTGTGTCTCGACTCATCGGCCGGTCGCGCTCTGAGGACTCTGTCTGCGATCACGCGCGGCAGTCGCCAAGGTAAGCGTTTCTCCATTTGGATGCACGATTTAAGAAAGATGAACACAGGCATGTAATTTCCGTCGAAACCTTTTCGACAGCGGTAGCGAGCCTTCGGAGTCGGGCAGCGACTCGCAGCGCAGTCCGGAGCGGACGGGATCTCGGAGTGGACCCTTGCATCCGTTGACGGCACTGGCGGCCCTCAAGCGGAAGCGAAAGAAATTCTCGGATTCCCGGCGGCCCGAAGCCACGGTCCGGCCCGTTCCGGCGCCTGAGAGTCTGCAGCGCGCCAGTTCGGTGCCGGCTCGCGTGCCCCCCGCCGCCCCGCCCCGCGCCCCTCCGCCGCCCGCCGTGTCGCCCTCCACCACCGCCGAGAGCGTGGCCGCGCGCGGAGGCAGCCGGGAGCCGCTGCTGGCCAGCCTCGACGACGAAGCGCACAAGGTAATGTCGGTTTCGAATGTGGGGCCTTTCGATTCGGCGCCGCGCGAGGACGGCCGGGTCAATGAAAGGGAACGTCGTCACTCATTGCAGCGGGACGGCTGCGGCCAGTGCGGGTACGAGTCGGGGCCGCAGGGCGGCGGGGAGGCGGGGGGCGGGGCGGGCGAGGCGGAGGGCGCGTGCGGGCGGTGCGCGGCGCTGGCGCGGCTGGCGGGCGTGACGCCGCTGGCGGGCCACGCGCCGCACCACTCCGCGGGCTGGCTCTAGCGGTCGCTTGTGGCGGAACCTTCGAGCCACCCGTTTGCGCGTTGGTCAATGTCACTACGCCACTTTGCATTTTATGTGCGCGACGAGGTTACTGAAATTTCGAAAACCTTAAAATAAATAGTATAATTAACAATATACCTATGTCGAATGGAACGATAATTTTAAGTCGTACTGCACAGCGTTTCTAAGAACGATAATTCTTAGTCGTGCTGCGAAACTTGCACCAGCAAGATGAAGTCAGTCTAGCTAAACAAACTGTAAAATAATCGCAAAATATAAATATTTGAGTAACCTCGGCACCGGCACTTAGTAACGAATATTCCTGTAAAGCTCCACGAGCAGTTAGCCTGCACTCGCTATAGCCTGTGTAGCTAATTATGACACATGATATAATAAAATTATACTATTGTAGTTAAACTTATACACAAAAATATATTTATCTACGTTAGGTAGTTCTTCCTGTGAAGTTTTAACGAAGACATATTTTATTGAACACCAATTAGTTAAGTAGATACAAATTGAATTTTGAATGTAGGTAGATATTATATACGTGTTATTCATAAGGGCTATAAACTATTACGTTTCATGAAAATAAATAATGTATCGACGTGAGAGCGAGGTGTTGCCTCGAAAATGAAGTAGGTACCTATAGAAAGCGTGGCAGCGCCGCACCGCGCACTTTTGGACAAATTTACTGTAACACCGAATTAAACGCACTCCCGTACACACAATGTTCCTTCACACGTTAATCGAGCCCTAAATGAAATGTAGAACTATTACTTATTCGAATACATACTTCGTTTTCAAGGTAACATCACGCTAAGTTTACGTTTAAGGGATAAGATAGAAATGTAACTTGATAATGTGTTCCATGAAAGTTTTCCAATAAGTTACTATGTCTGCGCGCACATTTATAGACTTAAGAGCTGAACACAGGGATTTTGATGATGCGCTCTCCGTACAACGCGCATTACCACGATTGTAACAATCCCATTATAAGATACTTAGAATAGAGGACAGGAGCGGGCTCTGTGATACTTTAGCTCCCGATGTCATTGACACCAATATTGCGTCCATCAACGTCATCTGATATAATGTTCCTCTGTCACCGAACCGATCAGGGTAAGTTCATCAAGATTATATGCTACATATTTAAGTATAGACGGGTGACAACCATAGACAACGAAATGCATTTGTTCCTGCACTGAACTACTCCAGTACCCACGAGCTTGTCGCCTCCTACACAAGTCCGCACGGCGTAGCCACGTGTAGATGCAATGCTTTAACACTTCACACAATAAGTATACTTAAGCCGCAGGGAATACAATTTTGGACATATTTTCTTACTATAATTATTTAATATAGTGAATTATTTAGGAAATTATGCTAGTGTTCAAAGGCGGAGTCGTGGGTTTTGTAGAGGGCGTTATGATATAATGATCATGTTATGATTGATCAAAGTCGGGTTTTGGTCAGGTCTTTATAGAGTAAAATTCCTTCACACAGAGTGGGTACGGAAGGTTGATTTTCGAAATCTGAACCGCTGTTGGAACCGGTTCTTGCCAAACAAACATTTGCACCTGTCAGGAGCTTTCAGGAGCTGGTAGCAGTTAGATTGTTCTGTTTCTGCGACTGTCAATTGTTTAATGTTTATTGATGTAATATTTTGTACCATTACGCCCTCCGTGAACTTAGACTCTGTATTTGAACCTTGTCGGAACGAACGCAATTGTACTTGACAGTAACTTATTTGCTGTAGTAAAAAACCTCGAAGATAAGTTTGAGGTTAAAAGGTATTGCTGTATTGCTTTAATGTGAAACACAAAAATAACACAAATGGTGATTTTAAGTCACTTCTCAGACGATTGAATACCTACTTAAATTAATTAAAATTTTGAATTGTAACTCCATATTAAATTTAATGGATAACATTAGCTGCATGTTTTGTTAGGAAGTGTAAAGTACCTACGTTTCCACAAGACGGAGTTAATTAGTAGAGAGGGTGGCGGGGCGACGGCTCGCTACACATATCGTTCTGTATGTAACACACATGTTTGTCGTTGTTTGTCTTCAGTCGAACAGCTTCCCGAGTGCACTATGCTATATACCTATCTGTACGCGGTAACATGTGTTCGGCATACGGATCTCTATATTATTATCTGTAATAGTTATGATTAGGTAGTGAAAATCAAATTCATCTTTTAATAACTAATTTTTCGAGCGTTATGTTCATTTAAGAACTTCAAAGAGATTTGATATTATTGTTGGCATTTGTAATAGTGTTCATATTAGTGCATGTGACGTATATCTATCCTGTGACGTCATCGATGACATCAAAAAAGATGAACTCACATGTCGCCATCTGCAATCTCTATCGTATTTTAAAACTTTTTCATAAATGCCGAAAACTACGAAAAGTTCCCGGAGTCGGGTTTACGACGCTTGATGCATGTAGTATAAAAAACACCAGGAATATACATTTCACACATTAGATAAGATTATAATTGCTTTAAGAAATTATACGAATGCATATATTTGAAGTTGCACCGGATCCGTCCTCGCAAAGGTCACTCAGTCCTGCTGCCGACCACGTCGCTCCGATGGCGGCGCGTTGGTGGTTATTGTCGTGGGGGAGGGGCATAGCCTGTCCTAATTTTATCAGTTGATCCCCAATACAGCTGGAACATATATCCTTGATCGGAAAAAAACCGCCGGCTGTGCTACTACTGTTTACCACCACTGCAGTGTAAAGTATTGTTTCAATTTTAAGCTCTATGGCTAAGACTGTCGGTGCATTTGGCGAAGCTGTTCGTCCTTGTAATAGTTGAATAATGAATAGTTGTGCCCGGCGCTGGTCCGGGAGACACGAGGCCTTCATTGTTTAGTTGTACGTCGCGACGGGCTCCGACCCGCTCACGATTATATTTTGTAAAGAGTTGTTATTTATTTATACATTGTATTTGTATATAACGGTGCGAAGTTTAATAAATTAAGCACTACTTATTTGTTTGTTTTATTTCAATGCAATCCCTATTCGCAAAACATCGATCAGTTAGGTCCTTCACAGACAGAAATAAAATACCTACCTTAGTGCAAATATTATAAGATGTCGATTTTTACTGGTGGTAGGACCTCTTGTGAGTCCGCACGGGTAGGTAACACCGCCCTGCCTATTTCTACCGTGAAGTAGTAATCGGTTGGAAGAGCGGGGCAGCCGTTGTAACTATACTTGAGACCTTAGAACATATATCTCACGGTGGGTGGCGCATTTACGTTGTAGATGTCTATGGGCTCCAGTAACGCTCCGACAGTTAAAGAAAATTTCGAATTAGTATGCGACCGTAATTTTCGCGATTTTTTTCCTTTCTTATATTTTAAATCACTAAATAATAATCTAAGAATTCTGACATTGTTTCATGTCAGGCTCAGCAGTGATACTAATGTAACCCTTGCATTAGACGCCTTAAACTCTAGCACTAGGAGTAAGAACCCCGGCAACCGTGGGGACGTGCAACCTAACCTACCGCTGAGTTTCTCGTCGGATCTTCTCAGCAGGTCGCGATTCCGATTCGGTAGTAGATTTATTCGTGAAGCAGGTACTCTCCCTTGGAAGCGCTTGAGCAACTGTTAGCTAATCCTACCCCTCCTGGCTGAGCTTTTGCTCAGTGGAAAGACCTCCGGTCCATTAGTAATCCATCAATCATAAAAATTTTTTTTTTTATCAATGGCTTTGTACACAAACATTCGATTACTTTTTGTTCAGCACCCACTAGGTATGTGTAGGGTACCTATTAAGAAAAATCTGTTTCCCTTATCACTTCATTTTAATATCACTGGCGTAGAAATATGAGTACACAGTGAACCAGTATTCGCGTGGGTTCTGACGACCGGTTCTAACTGGTAACGTGCTGTAGTCGCAGCGGCCGCTCCGTCGGGCGCGCGAGGAGGCCAGCGCTGTGGACTGGTCGAGCTTATCGTACTTTATTGTTTTAAAGCGGGAGCTAGAATTAAAACGAATCGTATAGTGTGGTAAGAATGTCATTTATTGAAGGGGCAGGGGAAGGAGCGGGGGGCGGCGCGTCACGCGGGCGGCAGGTGCAGCGGCTGGAAGTCAGCGGCGCCGGCGGGGCGCAGCGCCAGCGCCAGGCCGGCGGGCGCCGCGCGCAGGCGCAGCGTGCAGCCGCGCGCCACCAGCCCGCGCTCCGCCGCCAGCGCCAGCTGACTCACCACGCGCCGCTCCACCTCGTGCTGGATGGAGCGCGCGCCGTAGTGCACCTCGTACCTGCGCACACACCTCACCTCACCACCACATCTGCCGCGAGCCACCGAGAAGACTCGGCGGGAAAATCAGTAGGCTAAGACATGGCACTATACGACTACTTTTATTCGTAAAGAGATTCCACATTGGTCAGAAATAATGAAATCATTAAAGTGACCGCTTACCTATTGTGTCATGAAACTATCTTAAAAAGGAGCCCAGTAAGTCCGGGGACCATCTCAAACATACAAATGTCGGGAGGCCACGCACCCGTCGGCCAGGGCTCCCAGCACGTCGTCCTCCCAGAGCAGCAGCATGCCGTGCCGCTGGCGCGCGCGCGCCGCCCAGCGCTGCAGCTCGGCCTGCACCAGCGCCAGCAGCTCGGCGCGAGAGAACGGCAGGAAGTAGACGATCTCGTTGATGCGGCCGAGGAACTCGTCGCGCCGGAACTGCCGCTTGAGGATGGGCCGCACCACGTTGTCCTTGAAGTGCCGCGACACCTCTAGCGTCGGCTCTTGCTCCTCTTCTTCACCTTCCCGCTTCCCTGGGACGTTCCACTCCACCAGTTCAGAAACAGTAAAATGGATACCATCTCACAATTGACGTAAAGTTTGTCACAAGAAAAGAAACGGAACCGCTCGCGTCCCTCACGCCGCCAAGAGACACGCGGTAGAATGGCGGAGAATAGAAGAAGTCTATAATCGCATGGTCTCTTCTTTAGAAAAAAATTGCAAAAAGGTGGTACCGACCAGGGTAATTGTGAGCGGAGGGCGACGCGACCCGGCACCGACCCTGCCTCGGGCCGTTGGAAGATCTTCTTGCGGAATGTTGCGAAATATTAAGACAGCTTAAATGATCATTGAGCATACGCGCGTTCCAATGAAGAACTGGGGTAATGTCCGCGGGCCGGCAACCCTCACACCTTTGAGTGGACCGCTAGTTCGTGTAGCCATATATAACCAATTAAAAGTTCCGGCCATGAAATCCAGTTAAATTTATAAACTTATTATAAATTATGATTTTGTTTTTAGCTTAGATTAGTGTGAAATGGTTACTGCAGTCCACAGACATCAAGAACGTAAATGCCACCACCCACCTTGAGACATGAGTTGTAATGTCTTATTTTTACAGTACAACGACTGCGCAGTCTTCAAACGCATTACTGCTTCACGGCTTCATAGGCAGGGTGGTGGTACCTGCCCCCCCTCCCCTGTGCAGTGTGCGGGTGCGTACCGCGCCTGGTGGCGGCGAGCGCGTCGGCCTCGCGGCGCAGCTGCAGCCCGTACTGCGCGATCTCGTCGGCCGCCAGGTTCGACGTCATCACGAATATGGCGTCCTTACACTCGATCAACTTGCCCTTCCCGTCCGTCAGCCGGCCCTGCCCAACGACACTCTACATTGCGCGCAGCCACTGGGACCCGACCTCACGACTTCGTGTAACGATGACGTGAACTAACAATACTGGAGTGCATGATATTATTTAGCTCTTTAAACTGAACTCATCTTTAATACCGAAAAAGTTTTATTATAATTCCTTCCAAAATAAGTAGCGAGCTCACGCTCTATCAAAAGACTGCGGGAGTCGGCGGCCCGGTCTCCTCTTTGGGTGCTCACAAGGTCGTATGGAAAGTCGGGCACAGCGTCCGGAGGACTGAAGAGGTTCATCATTTCATTATCAAAGCGGGAAAGGACTAATTTCTCCGCAGACCCAGCCCCGTTAGTGCGGATCGACAGTCTGTAACTGTGGGTCAGTCGACATCGCGCACCTCGTCAAAGAGCTGGAGCAGGACCGTGAGGACGTCGGGGTGAGCCTTGTCCACCTCGTCGAACAGCACCACGGCGTCCGCTCGCTGCGCCAGCGCCCGCGTGAGCTGGCCGCCCTCCTCGTGGCCCACGTACCCGGGCGGGGCTCCGATCAGTTTCGCCACCTCGTGTTTCTCCTAACCAGTCAAGACGCTCGCATTACTTTGACGGTTAAAATACTGTTAACTTGCTGTTTCATAGAAATGTAGGGCTACCTGGTACTCGGACATATCGAGACGTATGAACGCGGCCGGGTCATCCTTGTGCATGTAGCGGGCGAGCTGCTTCGCTAGCTCCGTCTTCCCGATGCCGGAGCTCCCCAGGAACAGGAACACCAGGGGATGGTCGTCGTCGGCCCAACCGTTCTCCTTGCGGCGCACGGCGGCGGCGACGGTGTGGATGGCGGCACGCTGTCCCACTATGTACTGCTTCAAGCGGCGCTCCAGAGGGAAGCGGCGTCGCTCCTCAGCAGCGGCGGCGGCTGCTTCCTCCTCCCGTCGGCGCACGGCTCGCTGGATGAGGTCGCGGGTGGGCGAGGCGTCCCGCGCGTAGTGCAGGGGGCGACGGCCGGCGTGGTCGCGAGCGGCAGGGTCCGCGCCGGCGTCCAGCAGCGCCGCGGCGGCGTCGTGCGAGTCGGCCAGCGCCGCGTAGTGCAGCGCCGTCCAGCCCAGGAAGGAGGCGCGCGCGTTCATGCCGCCACAAAACTCGTCCTCCCGTCGTTGCAGCGCGTCCAGCGGATGCATGCCGGCGGCCGATGCGGCCGTCGCCGCACCCGCATACTGTTCCTACAAACATGTCTTGTCGCTTCATTTTGTTGAGTTTAGTGAACAACAGTCATCAGCTGCCGTTCGAAGCGGTTCTTACCTGTAGGTCAGGTTTGGCCCCGAGTTTGATAAGTTCGCGGACGACGTCGGGTTTGTCGTTAGCGGCCGCGACCATGAGCGCAGTCCAGCCGAGCGGGTGACGGCGATCCACCGGGCCTCCCTCGTCATCTTTCTTTGGTTGCTGACTTTCTTTAGCAATAAGGTATTCCGCTTGCCTGTTTTATTTAATTAAAAATATTTGATTAGGTTGTGGCGGTAGCTATCATAGCAAGGTATTTGACATATCACTGAATCTCCTTTACGACATTTTCAGGAAAGTTTGTTTATATATATACATAGATATATATATAAATTCCAAACAATGTCGACCTACTGAATAATTTCACCCACTCAATGGATGATCTTCGTTCATGGATGATCAATGGATGGACGATCTTTGTCGTTAACCCCCAAAAAGTTAATAGTTTCTCGTAAAAGTTGTTCAAGAATCATTAATTAAAGTTTTTTTTTTTTTTTTATGTGCCTATCTGCGATCATTCCTATTAATTAAAGTGAAAAAGTTGTTTTTCACTTTCATTTTCATTAATTAAAGTGAAAAACAATACACTAAGTACATAATATTTTTTTACATATGACATTGCCGTTTTACAATGCTGACCATTGGAACAGTAATTTATATTAGGCTGCAATAAATTTTAAAATGCAAATGAATTTTATTTCAAAAATACGTTTTCTAATTTTAAATTTAGGAAATTTGTTTATTGATTAATACCTTGTTTTTACTACATTTTTATGTATTTCATGAATACAAGTTCAATTTAAAAAAAAAAACCCTGAAACCTAAAAGTAGCAACGACGACTTAATGGGGACTAGTACTGCTTCGCGGCAGAAAGCTAGTACTGGCCTGCGGGATTAGAACATTGTTGCATTGCTTAATGCAAATGCACCAGGCTTCTTATCCTTTAGGCCACAACAACTTCACTGGTTCAGCACCTAAGCAATGTCCAAACTGACTTTCCCCTAAAAAGTGATAGTTAGTTAATGTTCTTGTTTTCATTAAACAAGGTGGACCAAATATCTGCAGTTATGTGTTGCAGTTTGATGTTTAAGAATACTATGAGACTATGACCCTGCATCTCATGAAGTTTCATACACATTAGGATGTCTGTGGGGTACAAATAAGCCCTTAACACCTGGTGAGTTGTGGCCTTGTTCACCTGTGTATGCAGTAAACAATAATAATAATAAAAGATATATCCTTACCTTTTTAACTCTTCGACATTTCCTATTTGGGCTGCTCTGAAAAACCTTTTTTCTGTAAAATGAAGTGAATTGCTTTAGATAAAATTATTTTTAATTACATTTGCAAATTATGAAGTATTTGTTCATAGAACTATGTCTAAAACGATTTAACTGATTGCCAGAGAATTCATATAGCCCTGCCAGTTACTCTTAGACATCAATGTAATCATACTTTTGTTATAGTTTAAAAGTTAATTTTTAGATATATTTCTCCTATTTATATAAAAATTGGTTCCCCATTTACAGACTTTTGATAGTTTCAACTGTTAGCCAGACAAATTTGTTGCCACAGGCTCTTACTCTATAGCTGATGAAATGGTAGTTTGAAAATTCCTATGCTGTCTATTTCTGCTATTCCTAAGGCTGGTGTTAGCAGATTGTCTCAGGTTGGGCCCATGAGTTTACATCCCCGTCCGCGCAAAGCTGGAACAGCCCCTTAGGCTACTAGCGAACAAGTAGGGAAAAAAATAGATTTTTCTCTCAAACTATACAGTAGCCAGCAGTCAAGTCTCATAGAAAATCTAAGAACTATTGAGTCTCAATTTATATTTATCTGGATATCTAAACCCATTATTTGATTAAATGGAGAATATGATACTTCTTCTTACCGTTAAAAACGTGATCCGCAGCGAGTAGAGCCAAGGCCAATGAGCCCACTCCTAGGGTGACACGATTTACATCTAAACGTTGTTTCCTCTCATTTCCAGAACTATTGTATCCTGAAGATATTCGATGTGCTGTCACCCCTGCAAGTCGTGCCGTCCGTCGTAAAGCACGCACACAACACGTTGCAGGTCTAAGACTCGACATATTATTTTGTTCTCTTCTTGACTTAAAATAATAATATGTAAGTCTTCAGTGAAAACAAATCTACTGAATCCGGCTTGCCATAGAGATAGAATATATAAATCCCAATTTTGTCATTTTTAGTGGAGCATCGTAGGGCAAGTTAATTTCATATTTTTCTAGTAATTTTCCAAGCTTTTCTAGTAATTTTAGATGTTTACTAAATGCCAATTCACTTTTTTGTTTCATCCATTGGATTGGCAAAGGGAAAATAGTCCATGTATTGGTTACACAATAAAATAGGAAATAAATATTATTTAAAATTTTATAAAGGAGTGTTCTTTCACCGTGGTGGTAGTGTCACAGCTACAATGTCTACCACCAAGCTTAAGAGAAGATTAAGTAAGTTGCCATACTTTTGTTGATATTGAGATACTAATATTTGTCCATGGCTTCGATTGTTACTTAAATTTTAGGTTTTTAATTAAGCAAGAGTAAGAGTTAAAGTAATATTTTAAAAGGAATTTAATGTAATTTAAAAATATTTTTTATTCGTATCAAACTATGCGTCCATGGTATCTATACATTTTTGCTAGCACACTCGTAATTTTCAGTGCCCTTCTTGAAGAAGTTAGAGTGTGCGGGAGCAAACACTCTTTAAAGAAATGTTGTACCGGCTCTCGGGTATTGATTTTTAACCCTGCCAAGAATCTGTCCAAATTTTTACTTTTTCTAAATTCTGTCGGCGCAAGGTAGTGTAAGTACGGTGAATGGCGCAAAACTTCGGGCCTTACGCTCTACAGCGTGCAGTATGCAGAAACGTGTAGCAGTGCGGATGAACAAAACCAGGCTGGCCAGAGATTCGCGAGCTTCTCCATTATTGTGTCTAGTTACTCATAGTACTTATCCCACCATCGTTCGTGTGTAACTTCGACATGACCTGAGGTTCGAATCGATTCTGAAACACCTAGAGGCAGCGTCAGAACGGTACTTCGATAAGGATATGTGTCATGACAATAGTCTTATTTTTGCCGCGGCTCATTACCCCCCGACTCCTGCCCACGTAGGAACTAGTCACCATCTACGCCCTAGATAAGTCCTTACGGATCCATCAGATCTAATAACTCTTAGACGCATTTAACTCCTTCGGCTCTAGTAACCGTTGAAGTCGGTAAAGAGTTCCATGTGTAACCTAAATTATAATTTGCGTAACACTTAACACCAGGTGGGCTGTGAGCTCGTCCACTCACCTAAGCAATAAAAAATAAAAAAACCTAACCCATACACCAGCGCCAGTCCGCTGAGTTTCTCATCAGATCTTCTCAGCGGGTCGCGATTTCGATCTGGTAGTAGATTCATTGGCGAAACAATTGCCTTTGAGTTATTAAGTCTCTTTCGGAGGCACTCCGAGACCTGTTAGCAAATCCCTTCTCTCCTGACAGAGCCTTTGCTCGCCCACTTGTCCTGGTGAAACTGGAAAGGCCTCTGGGCCACCAGTAATCCATAATTTAAAAAAAGTATACATTCCCAGTAATGCTGGTGCTATTTGGTAAGAAACTGTAATGAATTATACCGGCACAAAATCACAAAACAATCACCATAACATTTTTAGGGGTTATATTTTCATTTGGGGCATTGCCTAGATGCTGAACCAGGGTCTTATTTACATGATCACCAGTTACGATTAACTTTCAAAAAGAATTCATTTTTTATCGCAAGTTTTTTTTATTGCTTAGATGGGTGGACGAGCTCACTGTCCACCTGGTGTTAAGTGGTTAGTGGAGCCCATATACATCTACAACGTAAATGCGCCACCCACCTTGAGATATAAGTTCTAAGGTCTCAGTATAGTTATAAAGGCTGCCCCACCCATCAAACCGAAACGCATTACTGCTTCACGGCAGAAATAGGCAGGGCGGTGGTACCTACCCGCGTGGACTCACAAGAGGTCCTACCACCAGTAAAGAGGCAAGTGTCAAATCGGTTTAAATGCCTTCATGAGTGTCCATAATAGCAACGTAAGGCATACCTTAAAGTGTTCGTCGTGCTGGCAATCGTTCAGTTCTTGCGGCACACTATTTTCAAGTTTTATTACCTTTCCAATTTGACCCAAATGGGCCAACACTGTTTTGCTAATTTTTGGTAATTTTAAAAATAGATAGATAGATAGAATTCCATGTTGTAGTTCGTCGTGACCTAAAAGATAAGACGTCCGGTACATTTGTATCTAGCGATGCAACGATGTTCGCATGCCGCAGGCAGGTACCAATTTTTCTAATGAACTAAGTTAATAAATGTTCACGATTGGCTTTCACCGTGAAGGAGCAACATTATGTAATAAAAATCAAACCCACAAAATTTGGTAGGACGTCTTGTGAGTCCGCACGGGTAGGTACCATCACCCTACTTATTTCCGCCATGAAGTAGTAATGCATATCGAGATGAAGGGTAGAGCAGCCATTGTACCCTAAAAACTGAGACCTTAGCACTTATATCTCAGGGACCGTAGAGAATTGCAAAAGCAAGATAGGCTAAAAAGTCGATGTATCCAACGTCAAAATCAATTCGTTAAAAAATCATATGTACACCTACGACATAAATAACAAAACTGTAATTTTCGTTGTCATAAAAAAATGGTGGGGTTTTTAAATGGCAAAGTTCCTAAAGTAAATCAATAATCTGTTAATTGATAATATATGACTTGATTCGGTTAATATGTGCCTTGATTACTAATCAATTACTTTTATAATTAGTTTAATTAAGTACCTACTAAAAGTTGAAGTCGTTATGTGTTGATATCCGCCGGTTATAGCGTTTATTTAGGAACAATTACGATTGGAATGTAAAAATGGCTCTGGGACTTGGAGGATGCACGTTTCTGAAGAATGCTACGATGCTGGAACAGCTCCTCGAAGAAATCAACTTTCAGAGAACGAAGGAGATGCGTCAATTGATGAAGGATGGTGAGTGACATTCTTTCGCTTTTCTGTGTAAGCTTAAGTCATCGCTTGTGTGTTGTAGTCATTCATTTTGAAGATTTTTTAGACTGAAGATAAGACAGCAAAAAAATAATAAAAAGTATAATATGTAGCTTCTGTCCTAACCACAATTATACGGTCCATCCATAGATTAGATTTAGTTTATTTTTGTTACCATTATTCTCAAACGATTTTGTACTTAAATTAAGTTTTAGTAAACATTTGATTTATATATTTTGAAATAAAAAATGTACAGACACTAACTTAATTTGTTACAGTTTGATTAGACCACGATAATATAGATAGTGATTATTTCGAAAAACACACCATGAGTGTTGTTGTTAGATAAGCCTTAATAACCAAATAATGGATATTTTAGTTTATAATTTGAAAATGACATAACAAGTATTAAATTTTTGTTTAGGAATTAAGTTAATGACTGACTAGATTATGAAGTATCTCATTGCAGAAAAGGACATAGTGGTCTATAACTCTTTGTTGGTATGGAAGAAAGTCTTATTTAACCAATCCTCTGTCATTCTACACTAGCTTACATCCTGTAACTTTGCCTAAATAGACTAGCAGCAGCAATTTCACTTCGAAATTTTAGCAGACAGATAGAACTACATACTTGTATAATAGGAATATAATATCTAAAAGTATCCTAAACTCAAAATCTTCCAAAAATTATAATCTTTAAATGACAAATTTTTGGAATACCTTATTAAAAATGAAACAAAGCTTATATACTAATTTTAATCTCTGAAAACTAAGTAAAAACTGTTCAGCAGTTAGTGTTGTATGAAAATAATTTAAATTATCTGCTTTATCTTCTCTAACACTGCTTTCATTACCCCTTTTTTAATTTGATTTCATTTTTTCAATGTACTGAAACACAAAATTCTACAATCCCGTATGTTTTTAAACAATAAAATAAACAAATAACAGTATGTAATATAAATAAATTGTAAACAATAAAATCTATATATATATATTAATTGCTGTTCGTTAGGCTCGCTAAAACTCGAGAACGGCTCGACTGATTTGGCTAATTTTGGTCTTGAATTACTTGTGGAAGTCCAGAAAAGGTTTAAAAGGTAGATAAATATGATAGTGCTCGGAATTAAATAAAAATAACAATTTTGATTTTTCTTTGATGTGCCCCCCGTCGGACGGATTCTTTTTGTTTGTTTTAAGTTTATTTTATACAAAAGCTTAGGACTTTTATTTATCGATTGAGACACTACGTAGTCTGCCGGGTCAGCTAGTTTATTATAATTATAAGGTAGATTTGTTGTATTATAAGATTTTGTAATGTTACAATTTATAATGATCAATGTTTTTAAGTAACAGGTTAAATGTGTACATAATTTTATTGATCCATAAATGTACCTACAATAAATTACAGCCCATCTGAGTCAAGTCATAGTTTCAAAGCAGATTAATTTAACTTTAGTGAACAATTTAAAGTGGATCAGTATTGAATTTTGATACAAGGAAATAATAAAATAGTTTGTAGATAGATCTTACAATCAATTTGTTTTATTAAGAAACATGTGTTCGAGGATTAATTCTTTGAGAATGATTAACCTTATTTATTCTTTATTTATTTCATTTACTCCAGATTTTGCATCCATATTACATATTATTATTAAACCTATGGTTGCTTAGCAACAAAAATGGTCAGGGTCTTGTGAACTTGTGCAGACTTTGATGGAAAACAACTAGAGGTTCTTGATTGGTTTCAACTCTTATATATCACTCCACTGGCCCAACATTTGGGATGATGAATTGGTGATGCAACGGGTAGACAACAAAAATGATGTTAGAGCATGGCCATCTTTCTTACAGTGGTCAATGTTATTATTATTATAGTGTATTAAACACTGCCACGCCTGGGAAGACGTATTTATATTATTATTATTATTATTGTGTATTATCACAGTAAGCATTGTGGCCCAGATTGAGTTTGTTAGTATCAAATTATACATATTTACAACCTACTTGGATAAAAATTAATTGTTATATTTACTTACCTGTCGATAAGTTTAAGATCTAATACTAATACACTCATATAGTGATACAACTGTGTTAGTCTTCTAGTGCTACACCAGGTACTCAGCTTATCAACACCTAAATAATTAAAAGGTCTCATCTAAACATGTTCACAAAGTGAAATCAATAAATCACACACTGAATACTCAAGGCGGGCGTTGGCATAGTTGGTGTCCATGTGCTTCACCAATTCCAGATAATATATCACAGTTTGCATTATCATGGTATCGTTTTAAAGTAATCTGATCAATTCTTTTAAAAGTAGAGCCAAGCATACCATTGAGACTTGTTCAGCGGATCACTGACTGTTCCTATGGCACTTATTTCTGAGTAAGGTTTGTGCTAAGACAAATGTAAAATGTGTCAAATTTACGTTACATAATCAAAACAGATAGCATTTTACCTCAAATAAAGAAATGAAATTGTGTATAGATATCTCAACTCAAAATCAAAATAAAATTTAAGGTAGTTAATTGATACAATTAATCCAATTTCTTACTTTGTTTTGTTGTATGTTATCTACAAAGTTTGAAATGAATATGAATAGTAACAACAACTCGCAAACATGTAGCTCAGTTGGTGAGATGCAGTATTAAATATTTATAGAATTAAGATTTGAAAGTATCGTTTTACGAACATGGTGTTGTCCTGAAACTAATATTTAGAATTTTTAATCTATTACTTTTTTCTTACATAATCGCCAGTAGCCTAAGGGTCTATTTTAGCTACGTGCGGACGGGTAAGTGACCTCACGGGCTCAACCCGCGAGTCTGCTAACACTGGCCCATCGATTCGTAATCGATATATCTATTACTGTGAATCTGTGCCACGTTTCTATTACGTCTCGAAAACTACGAAATATAGGAAATAAAAGTGGTAAAATCTTATGAAAACATTTATTAAGTATGTATTATTTATATTTTTTACATAACAGCATAATGTATTGTATGAATAATAAGTTGCATGCCTCATTTTACAAATAACAATAACATTCACATTAAGTTATATTCAATTTAGTTTCTTACGCACGGAATGTAATTATTGGCGACGCTACACCAGTCTGGGGACTTATTCATATTGTTTTTTTTTTTTCGTTTCCACATAATTCTCAATCAGGTACATTAATATAAAAATAATAACGATGTTATTTGATTTTTATTTGGTTACACCGGTAGTCTAGAAATTAATGTAAACGCGAGCGTGGCTGACGACATTAACACTTTTATATTAGGTATATCGACAACAGGATGACAAGCATCGGCATCCGTGAACATATACGTGGTTGTTAGCGGTACTAATATCTATAGATGAACTATCCACCTCTATACGAAGAGAAGAGCACGGTGTCACCGAGCCACTAAGACTTTCAATAAAAACAATGTTAATTTTCTTGTTTATTGTTTCATTTATCTTTTAGTTGGTGTGAATGGGCAGACCAACTGACGGTCGATCTGGTGCTTAGTGGTTATCGAGCCTGTGGCGCTGCCCACATTGGAATGAAGTAATAGTAACTTCACCCCTCAGAAAAGAAATCGAAAAGCGTACAATTGGTACTAAAGCATGTGACGTCAGCACCCCTAATTTTGATGTATTAAAGTATTTTAGACGTTATAAAGACACGATGGAACCTTGTCCACCCTATTAGTAAATGCGGAGCGAGTCTGTCCCTTACGGTCTTGTTGAATCTGAACGCGGTACTACCATTCCTAATTTACATGACGGTTATCAGTAAAGCAGGTATTTGTATCGTGTCTACTTAATACGAGTACCATTAAAGTATCTGTGTTATTTATATTGTTAAGAAATCTTATTGGTTAATTTGATTTATACTATTTAGTGTACAAAAGAGCTGGGATGATAAATTTTCATTCAAACTTCTCTCCTTGTTTTTTTTTGTAAGAAATGAAACTTGCCGTTTGAGAACTAAATAATTTAAAGTTCATATTAAACTAAACAATTTAAATATTAATGCGAAAGTAATGTAATTTTTAATTATAAAAAACCAGGGAATATCAAATTGATAAATGTCATTCAAAATTATTACATGAAAATTAATTTATTTGTGAAACAATAACATTGATTTCTTTTTTAGGACTTTATTTTAACAAATTCGCGAGTCACTGCGAGCATACAGTCGACACCTGCTTCTACTGTCGTTTTCTATTATTTATCAATTTAATTATAAATTTAAAACCACATTTAATATAACTAGTCCTTTTCAACGATTTGATTCATATGGTTCCTAAAAAGATGAACACACGCAATGTATATATGTACATACACACACATATATATGAAAATATGTACATTTTGCTATCAAAACTGTTTTCGTTTGCGTGTCAATGTTTCGCCAGCCTCACATCAAAATAAACATTAAGCAGTGCCATCATTTTAAATGAGGTGTACATTTCACTTAAGTATTAAAACGCACAATGTGGTCACAAGTTTCTATGTTGTTGGAATCTCTTAGGCGGGTACTGTCACACACGGATGACGATTTTTTTGTGGCGTGCACAGATTCGTGATTCATTTGTTTTCAAATGCAACTCGATCGAACAACTTTTTATAAGATCAACTTTTACAAACAACAACTTAACAGTGTTAAATAGAATGTATTCAATCCACCAAGTCATTGAAGGCAGAGAAGCTAGTGGTCCACGTGACGTTCTTTGTCGCTCACGGATATGGATAATGCCAGCGCCGCTGAAATCCTGTATCATAGTTAACTGGTAAGACTAGGGTACAAATTACGGCTATAAGAAGGTCGTATATCCGGGCCAGATAAATGCCCAGTAAAGTAAGCTATGTGGACCTATACGGACGTTTACAATTTCATATTAACAACAACAATGATGGCAAAATAAATACAATACAACAATACAAGCAATATTACAACACACTTCACCGACATTACATTATGTTACGTACATTACATACTCGAAGGATTTCATCACTAATCCGTTTAGATCAAGGATCACACTCCCCAGTTTTGTACAAAGGCACTTCAGTACATACAACACATTCGGTATTCTAATTTAAAAATATAGGTACATAATAACACGAGATAATATTTACAAATAATTTTGATAAAGATCACAATTCAAGCACTACCAAACTTTAAATATCTCTCAAACGATCGAACCTATCCAGTGACGGATGTTAACATGACAGTAACATTTGCAGATTCTGGCTTCGTAGTTCTACAAGGAACGACGTATTGGACAGATTTGTTCGTGAGGCACTTCCTCTTCCAGGAGGAGCAGGCCATTGACTGTGACGACCTGCTGTTCTTTGTTCGAAAACGTCATGTGAAGGGATCGTCGCGCTACCTGCCTAAATACGAGGTAAGCTACCAGGACCACAGAAGACTACGGCGTTCATTTTGGCATATAGAGAAATCATAACAACTAAATGGGAAATTAAAATTATATTATGAAGGTTACATCTTTTAACTCCCCTCAAGTATGTTATCCCTCAATAATGAGAACATGTGTACTACCTTTGAAATTTATTTAAAAGCGATTTTTATACTTCTTGTTTTGTGTCGTCAAGACTAAAAAAATAAATCGAAATATATTTATGAGTAGAATGTATTTGTACGTTCAAGATACCGTACAAACGCTTATCAAGAGATTATTATCGAACAATTTTATGATATTTTTACCTGTTTCATACTGTTAATATTCTGATAATATTTTGTTTTCTTGTATTTTTTCGTTGAAAATTCCACATCAATTTATCACAATATTCATAAATGTTGTGTTCAGGATAAATATAATGTAGAATGTAAGTCTATTGCTCATACACATTATACATAATTAGCCAATAATAAATCTTCAAAAATAATGCGTTGCTTGTCAACTTTGAATGATAACTCAAGGTCTCTGAGTGCTAAGCGGAGAGTACAACACACTGAGTTGTGGAATGTCGCTTTCTTAAATAGTGTCGGCGCTCTAACTACCCAACCGATTACTCGAACAATTAATGTCTCCCGATTCAATCCTAGTTTAGCACCATTCTTTGAAAACGAACAGTCGCTGAAGAACCTTTGGAAATACAAAAACTATCATTTAACAACACTCAAGTATGTACTTTATTTGAAACAATATAAAAATATGTTTTCTTATTAAAGGCTAGGAGCTTAGAGTGCGTAAGTGCAGCCGCACTCGGCACGAGCCTCGCAGTACGGTACATAAATACTATGTTCTTATATAGACTCCAGATTTATAATTCTATAACCACTTATAAAATATTTAATTTACAAAACAAATATTCTATCAACAGCTGACGATACATTCATTTGATTATTGTTCTTTGTCCAATAAAAGATAACTTAAATTACTTTTACGATACACAACAACAAAAATACACGAAGTAGTCCGAAATAGAGTTCGCGACAGAGGTGAGGTTCGACTCTTTGTCAGATTGCCGTCGAACCCACTGCCACGTAGTTTGACACAGTCTTGATCGCGACCCGTCCTCGGCCGTGGTAGAGATTCACTATTGTTCATCGACCGGCCCGACCGGCGGCGCCTGTTCGCAGACGGACGTCGAGGTGTTCCGTAAAGACTCCAAAAAACTGCCGATCGGCGACCCGGAGATCGACTGGGAGGAAACGGTCTACCTCAACCTGATCGTGCACCAGTTCGACTACACGCTCACGCTGGCCATCTGCACGCGCACCAGTCCCAAGGAGCTGCAGGTGTTGAAGCGGCACTCGCAGAAGGTGAGCGTCATACTCGCTCCGGCGGCGGCGGGGTCGCTCGGGCGCGTCACTAGCTTAGCCGGTTGAAGAGTTTGGTGCGGGGCCAGGGCAGCGGCCAGTCGTACCGCCGCGGCACCGGCCCCCTCACGTTGCGCTCCAGGTACGTGAACACCCAGTACCACCACTCGCGCTGTATCATGTAATGGTTGTATCCGTTTCCTGTCCGATGTGGCGTCACGAGCAGCGAGTGAAACGTCCAGAACAGTCTCGTGGTTATGTAGTACGCGATCACCACGTCCACGGTGTAGTGACCGTGGGCGAGCAGGACGAACGAGACGCCCATCACGGCGGAGCCCGCCATCGCCCAGTGCATTGGCCACAACTTCTTGGGTGAGTATTCCGCGACTATCAGATAGCTGAGCACCAACACCATCGTGTGCCCCGAGTATATGTAGTCTCCACAGTATGTGTGTTTTCCGTTTATCGAGAGCCCGAAGCCGGATATCAAGTAGAACATTCTCTTGATGATGAGCAGCGGGGCCGTGCTGTTGCTCTTTGGGCTACAGGTGTACGTCATGCTGGACACCGGCAACACGGTCACGAACATCGTGATCGAGCGGTACAAGTACAGCAGGCCGATGATGAAGAACAGCCGACGCGCCACGATGAAGCGGTGCTTGTGGAACACGACCACTAGCATCGCGACCGTAGTTGACACCATGATCAGGTACTCGGAGACCGCCAGGCCCCAGTCGTGCGCCGGCACGTTGTCTAACACTATGTCGTTGAGCGGCTTCGTCGTGTTCCGGTCCGGCAGTCGCTCGTGCACCAGCGATAGTGAAATCATATTGATGCAAACACACATGAATAGGAAGAAAAATGATAGAATCGTTTTCCATATTTCTTTAGGGTATCTTTCTTCTCTGACGGTGCCCGGAGGTAACTCTATGATGAAGTCGCCGGTGTGCGTTCTCTGCGGAGAGTGGTCCTGGTCAGGGTCGGACTCGTCCGTGGCTGGCTGCGGTGCGTCTGTTTTGGTGGTGCGGGCCAAGAGCGGTTGCCTCTGCATGAGTTCCGCTTGGCTGGGCATGGTGCCGTTTTGTGGTTGGTCGTTTTGTTGGCGAGGAGGATTGTTGTTTAGGTCATTCCGTTTGAAGCGCGCCTCGAAGTTGATTCCCTTGATCTCTTCGCGAGCGGTCTGAGAGGCTATGTCGACATCACAGACGGGAGGAGTCGGCGGGGGCGAGGGCCGGCACGCGGGCACGCAGGGCACGAGGGCTAGCTGCTTGGAAGGCACTTCATTTGCGAGATACACACGCACAGACTCCACTAGCGGCTCGGCGAAGTTAATTTGTTTTGGTGGCGACGGCTCCTTATCTGGGGAGCGTGCTGCGATCGTCATCCAATCACCATTTGGTTGAATTGAACCTGAAATTGAGAAATTCTCATTAGGAAATGCTAGTATAATAATGTGAATGTAATATGTAAATAATGTAAATAAACATATTAATTTGTGTACCGACTCAGTGACAGATAACAGAGTTTATTGTGTTTGGAATGCCGCATGTCGTTCTAAGTTAACAAACTTCCATACTTCGCATGCGAACAATTATTGACGAAAACACAACACTAATAATATAAATTGTATTGAAAGTAATGAATCAGTATAATTTACGCCATTATTGACTGGAAAACTACTAAGTGAGAATGTTTTTGCTATCGTGTATTTTATCACATGTTCGTTCTCATCGCCTAGTTTCAGACATTATATATTTGAAGGTTGGTAAGCAGTATAAACACACTCGTATATAATGACATACAAATATGCGGTAAATCGTATATTCTAGAAAATGTACGGCGAATAAACACAAACTAACAATAGCAGCGAATGCACGGTTCAAAGACCGCCGGGTGGGATTGCGAGCCGCGCCGCCGTGTACCGGCGCCCCTCCTCTATCTGCTGTCAAATGATCGTAATTAGCCGTAATTGTTTGTTGTGGGCCGCGACTCGCGACTCGCGACTCACCTTTATGGTAGTTTCACGAGCACTGCGCGTGGCCTTCGAGATGCGAACACTTCGAGATAGCTGTCGTGAACAGTCGACTACGTTTCACTTTAAATCTCCGGACAAATGTTTTGTTCCACCTTTACGAATCTTTTGCTTTAGAAGATTCGGACTCACCCGATCAATGTGCGAACTGTCATTCGGAGCGAACGCGAGGGCTCATCGATTGGGCGGCTCAGTATCCCGTGTGCCCCTCAGGAACGCGGCTTCGGCTTCGCGTTCAGATATTTCATAGATTCATATAAACGAGGTCGAAATAGAAAACGATATAATGCACACACTTCACTGCATATCGGTAACGGCATCAGTGGCACTAGAGAACGCGTCGACGCTGACACTCGCGACGAACCTATTGCACTTTTAGATGGGCGGCTCGAGTGGCCACAGCGGATATTATACTTTATTACAAATGAATGTTGATCGGGACGTTATGATACTGCTGAGCGTCGGGTCGTGCACGCGACGACCGCGTACTAGAAAAGATTGAACACTGGTTGGCTTCGGTCCGGCGCCGAGTGTCGGGGCTCGTCGGCTTCGTTCGTGCGCACTCGGCTCAATGGAAGCAATTACGCGCAGGCTGACGTCACGCCCCCCGACCCCGGCCCCTCACAGCTGCTGTCTATTCGGAGGGTCTACACTCTACTGTGAATGAGGAACTTCGACCGAACGAGCGACGCTTTTTAACTATTGGCCGTAACTAGTCTGTATATTGAGAATTGAGATTGAAGCGAGCTTACGCTCACAATTTCGCTGCATACAGTGGACACACGATTAACGAGTGTTATTAAATAACATAGGTAGCAGTAATGCATCCCGGCTAGTAGGGTGCGACAGCCGTTAAACCACACGATTGAGACTTGGAGCTCACGTCACGAAGTGGGTGGCGGCGTTCATGTTGCGATGTTTACGGGCTCCAGTAACCGCTTAACACCAGATAAACCGTAACATTGTCACTATGTCAATGTGGAATTAAAAGAATGTAAAACTGATTGATAAGTTGAATTATGACACTGGAACGACATTGTAGCGTATTTATGATCTATTAGAATAGATAGATTATTCTAGCGACCTGATATTTGTAGATTTATAATCAAAATCTAAACCATTTTTAAAAGAACACAATAAATAAAAACAAAGGAGTCAAATTACCGTTCGGTCCTTTTTTCAAGATGTTAAAACAAAGGAGAGAATTTAATTTAATTTACTCTTAGGGTGTCGAAGTGTGGTCGAATTTCGAATCAGATAAATTCTGGTTCTGTTTTATACTTCTACAAATTAGATCATGTCGGAATGAGTATCGTGTTTGCATTTATTGTACCTACGTTCTGAGATCCGGTTTAAGATAATGAGGACATAACTTAGAAGAGTTTTATAGATACGTAGTAAAACCGACCACGCACAGGGATGTCGCAATTTACGTGTGAATTGTGCAATGTTGAGAACATCTTACTTATATATAGTANTGTTAAAACAAAGGAGAGAATTTAATTTAATTTACTCTTAGGGTGTCGAAGTGTGGTCGAATTTCGAATCAGATAAATTCTGGTTCTGTTTTATACTTCTACAAATTAGATCATGTCGGAATGAGTATCGTGTTTGCATTTATTGTACCTACGTTCTGAGATCCGGTTTAAGATAATGAGGACATAACTTAGAAGAGTTTTATAGATACGTAGTAAAACCGACCACGCACAGGGATGTCGCAATTTACGTGTGAATTGTGCAATGTTGAGAACATCTTACTTATATATAGTAATATCAAGGTTTATCCCGATTTGATCAGTTGCTAAGCTCGATTTCAAGTGTATTCGGGAGTGCTCACTGCTACCCGTTAGTGAGTGATACGCTGAGTTCTTTATCGTTTTTTATTGAACACAGTATTGGCTTTCCTGATCAAGTGGCTGAGAGGTTCGCCACTGAAATCATGTTCTTGCGATGAATATAAAATATCTTTTGTTACCAGGTTGACTTTACAAATGTAACCCGTCCGACTCACAGGACGTTCTACCACCAGTTATTACGCAATTTTTATGGTTTGATTTTTATTACAAGATGTTATTCCTTCACCGTGGAAGTCTATCAACATTTGTGAAGTCCGTATTTCATTAGAAAACTTGGTACATGCCGCGGAATTTGAACAGGTACCGTTGCATCGCTAGATACGAATGCACCGGACGTTTTCTTATCTTTTAGGCCACGACGACTTGTTCTTTTGGCCACAACGACTAGTTAAAATCGTGGCCTATCGTTAAAATAATATCTACCTAATTTAAATTAAAAAGCTCTTATTGCGCTCATTTTACGTTTTTTGCTGATAATACCTAACCATGTTAGGGCGTGTTATAACAGTGTAATAACAAATTTGGTTGTAGTTAATACCGTATTCAAATTTTGATGAACAACACCTTGGTTATCCGTGATCACGAAAATTAAATAGTATTCGAAGCATCGTAAATAATATAAGCGAGATTAAACCTATAAATAGTTTCAATTATATCTACAATTCGCGGAAACCGAAAAAAAATACTATAACGTCAAGAAAACCTGGAGGTGGTGAATAACGCTATGGGTAAAACGTTAATACTATGTAACGCCACTGGTCAGAACTCAGAATGAACCGATGCGTTTTATAAGTTTCTAGATTCCGATTGTGATTTAAAAGCTCATTAACGTGACATTTAGGTTGCGTTAATTAGTCTCAGTTATTTTAATACGGTGCCAATTATTATTGTGGAACTTTATTGTTATTTCATTAATTTACTAAATAGCCCGATTAACAAATTATACCACTAAGTAAGTGCCTCTTCGTCATTTCTACAAAACAACTTTGGTGGACTGTAATGGTAGCAAACATGTAGAACATAAGAAACGCGACAAAAATCTGAATCGTGCTAATGATGTAATCAAGCTAAGTTTGCAAATATACAATTATTTAACTTTATTTAACAATTATTTAACTTACAATTATAATTATTATTTATTTATCATTATCATTTTATACTTAACTTATCAAATTGTTTGTTAGTTTTTAAATGGTTCTCTGAAACAGAACTAGTAGAGCATATTCTATGTTAGCTCGGTCTATCCATTGCTCAGAACTTTTCCCCGTTTCTTATACGGTTCTCTTCATTGATGTAACAAATTATGTAAGAAATTTGGTTAGGCCACTTGTGGTCAACGTTAATTTTACTTTATAAGGGATCTCTAAAAGCATGGTATGTTAATTTAAACACAAAGGATGTTTGTATACCAAAAGTGAGAGTTATACGCGGCCCTAACTCGGTCAACAGCTCTACCCAGGCCACCTGGATACTAGCACGTCTTATATTTAATCACGGATATGGTGTGGCGGTATTGTGTACCTATTTATTATAATATATATTATACTGACTGGCGTGGTTGAATGATCAAAACCTACCAAAATCGTTAATACTTCACCCTTTAGGTTCATTTTGTGTATTAAATTTTCGAATTTGTTTAGTTTAATAATAACCAAAAAAATTTAAAAATAATATAAGCTATCGTTTTCCTTCCAAACTAACTCTCCCAAGATAACAGTTTATGTGTGTTTCTTTACGAATTTGTGACATCGGCAACGGTGATAGCCTTGTAAATCCCTATTACGACACTTTCAAACTGATCGAAATCTGAATTGTTTTTTATTACCTAACACGGCAGACTAGTTCACGACCACCTGTTGTGTAACGAGTGTATTTTATCTAATTACGTTTAGCCTACGCGTCGAACCGAAATGCATGATGGCTTGGTTCAGTAAAAAATGTTCACCGTCCTTACTGGTGTAGACTTAATTCGCCATCAAGCTCCCTTTTATCATTATTTATCCTTCAATGGTAACTTTTTTTGGTTTATAAAAAGCTAGGCGGTATACTCGTCTGCGTTCGAATAAAAAAGAAAGGACGAAGGGTTCGCCTAGTGTACATAAAATACGCACGTGACTACGGTCATCGCTCACTTGAAAGAACAAGAATAGTACCCTTTTACGGGTTTAATAATAAATGTATTTATACCCTTAAAACGGGATTAAAATGTAACAAAACATTGAAGTGAAACAAAGCTTCGTGTTGGTTTCAAAAACAAAACAAAGGAAATTTGTTCCCAAATTTTTTTCTCGTCCAGCGCCGGATAATGTTATTGACAAAGTCAGAAATCCTGAATACATATTCTAAGGTCCGAATTATCGAAAATATTAATAGTTGTCCAGATCTCTTACCTGACCACACTAATCACAAAAACAAAATGTTTCGACACAAGAAAGGAACCTCATAGAAGATACATCGTTTTTATTGTTTTATGATATCCGGAACTTAGTATTTGGTGTACCATGTAAATAGGCTGAAGTTCTTACTTGTATTGTACATTGTACATATAACAGCTGTTCAACCCTTCAAATCGTAACGCTTAACGGCTTCGCCATAGAAATAGGGGTGATGATGATTTACAATGCGCTCTTTCCAGCACCAATAAACTTGTTTAAGTAAGAATTTCAATAATGAGAATGACGTTTTCTTCCTCTGTTAATTTTTTACGGGAATGTGCGTTTTTTTTTTGTTCTATTGCTGTAGTTCTTGTCAAGGATAACATTATTTTCGATATTTTATAATGAGTCATGGTCGTCATGGACTACAAAACGTTCGATCGTCATCATAAAACAGACGTTTCCGCATGTAGCCGCGTGTACTCCACTACACAATAGTTTCGCGTCGATATCTCTTTATTCAGCTGTGCGTTATCGCTGTTATATTATACAGCATAATTACATTAATTAATATTCGCGATACCAATTTTCTTCACCTGAAAATGTGTTTGAACATCTAGAATAGTCTTTTTGAATACGTTTATACTATTTTATAACTAATGTTTCATATTTTTGATCAGACGTGAATTTTAGACGACGCGGCAGACGGTGCACTGCGTGTTATTAATAAACGCGTGCAATATTGGCAGCTCGGCGTCCTGGATGTTTGTCAGCCGTCTCTGCGTGACGCGGCGTGTTGTTGTGATCACTATTCTGGTTACCGTATGACACATTTTTTATGTTGTGAAACGCAGAATGGGCCCAAAATTTGTTTTATGTGGTAATGGGGAAGTACTTTCTATAGATCAATAGATCTGTAAGTTCATGTCCTCCTGACGTTTCATAAACTCCTGGCTAGAATATGCGTTTTAGTATTACATCTATAGAGTTCGGTGATCTCTGCCTGAACTGTCGCTTGTTCATTGGTTTGTGTAAAGTTAAAGATGAGAAATCATTTATAGTCGTTTTGTCTTTATAAATGACATTGTCATAATATCTACTTCTAGTTAATTTGTATAGCTTTTTGTAATATCATTGACATCTTAATACATCCATTCAAGATAATAAATAGAGAACTAATGACTTTTCACTCCACTGTCGTTGACGATAATGGTGTGCATATTAATGTAGACGTGTGAAAGCCCGGGCTCGTAAATATTTCCATAGCAGCTTATCTACCACAGATATTCGGTTATTATCTGTATTATTTTTATCGCCCTAATGTCGTTATTGCCTTAGGGAAAAGAAATTATAAACAGTTTACGAAGTTACTCGTTTTTGCTATGATTCAAATAATAATACTAGCTTTTGCCCGCGACTTCGTCCTCGTGGAATAGTTCAATGCTGTCGCGGACTTTTTTTTTTAGATCTTTTAAAGGGGAACAATTCTGTCATACATTATTTTAGAGAAACTTTAACCGTTTCTGCAGCGCACGCAGCGGAAGCTCTCAAAAGGGGAAAAACCCCGATTTTGAAACATTATTTATTGGTGCTCCGCTTGTATTGATCTTAGCGTGATGTTATCTTATAGCCTTCCTCGATAAATGGGCTATCTAACACTGAATTTTTCAAATCGACCAGTAGTTCCTGAGATTAGCGCGTTCTAACAAACAAACTCTTCAGCTTTATAATATTAGTATAGAAGATAGTTTGTGTTCTTTGATCGTTCATGTTCTTCGTTCGTTACGAAATTCTACCGTGTGAAGTAGGCTGACAATTGAACACTAGGCTGATAACGTTCTTCAATTAAACCTTTCAATCAATCAAATAAAATCGATCAAAAATCAATCAATACCGTATTGCGGAAACAACATAGAATGATAATGCAAATAGTATTTAAATACGAAAACGATAAGCCGATATACCCCAGACAAATATCCCATCCGATTTAAAAAAAAACAACTAAAATACCTACATAATATGTCTGAACGTGTTTATAAAATTTTTGAAATTTAGATTTATTCATTTTATGATATGTAATTTTGTGTATTCTAAACATTGTTTTTAGCCGCCTTTTATTGTGGAATGCAGTTAAGTATATGGTTCATTTGATGGTGAGTGGGGATACCGTGGCTCATTGTGGCCTCTCGTCGCTACCGGTCGTTGAAGACTCTTCTTGAACCTGTTTGAATGTAGCAAAAAATGTCCGCTTAGTGGACCACAAGAAAGAAAGTATCGTATCATTAATGATATTATTTGTTTGATTGTCATATTAATTAGCAATATGTTTCAATTGTAAACTTCCTCTTCGATTCAATGGTAAGTTTTTATTTTAATGTTAATGTTTAAGCCTCAAGCTCCCCTGTATCGCCACATAGCGAACTAGAAAGAAATCAGGTTTGTGATATTTCTTACGAAACTGTACTATTATACATATACAAAATAACATTGAAGGCGCCGAGGTCACGGGACCGGCATCATTTCTGACAGGTATGTTTTTGTTTTTCTAAATATTTTATTACCTTTAATCTATATTATGTAATATTGCTGCTAAAGTGCTCTGAGGAATTATTTGAGATAATCCCATCATCTTTTTTTTACCATCGCGGCATCGCACCGCCAGCCACCGGAGTAGAGTTCATACTACCAGCCACTGTGTTCACTCACAGTGCGTCTCTAGAGATCTTTTTTGCCACGTACCATCATACTTTGGAATGAGCTCTCCTCTACGGTGTTTCCCGAGCGCTATAATATGTTCTTGTTCTAACGAGGTTTATGGAGAGCTAGGCAGTTAGGCAGCGGCTCGGCTAACACTCATCATGAGGTGGGCTGTATGCTCGTCTGCCTACAAGAGTAATAAAAAATATTCTCTTTATATTTGTTTCGAGACATGGTTAGTCGAAGCTCACGGCCTCACAACATACAACAGGCAACATGGATGCCGCCGTCCACCTTTTTTTTAAATTGTAGAAACGATCATCCTATCCTCTAATGGCGCCGACAGGATGTATGACTGGTTCACGGCAATAGCTGTCCAGACTGTGGTACCAAACAAGTAATGTCATGCAATATTAGTTTTGAACACATGTTACGTAGGTACCTGATATTATAACTAATTTGATTAATTTTCATACTTGCCGAATACTGACACACCGGCCACCTTACATACGACACTTATAAATAATAAGAATGAACGTGGATATATACTCTTATATACTATGTTTGTGAATATGATAGGTTGTAATGCGAATGTAAAGCGGCGTGCTGTTGTTTCCACTGTACAGGTCTACGCGTCTCCGAGCCGCCGCAAGATGGACACGAAGGGGGAGGGCGAGGAGATGACGTACCCGCATATCTGCTTCATGGTCGACAACTTTGACGAGGTGAGTGATTCGAGTATACGACTATTTTAAAATATTTTGTGTTCTATGAGTAATTGTGTGTGAGAGTCAAATCAAATTACTACATACTAATAGGTTTTGACATCTCTATCACTACGTAAAATGTCATATAGCGATGTAGGTAATGTAATTTTCGAATGACTTCCAGTATAAATAATAAATAAATAAATAAATATTTACTAACAATCACGCCACGTTAACTGGTCCCGTGATAAGTTCGTAAAGAACTTGTGTTACAGGTACCAGATAACGGATATAAATGTAAGATTTTTATTATACACATACATATATTTAATAGACATCCATAACCCTGGAAAAGACATTCATATTTATCATACAAATATCTTCCCTTGGCGGGATTCGAACCCGCGACCCCCTTGTGTAGTGACCATGTCACTTACCACTACACCAGACGGCCGTTATATACTTCGAGGAGAAATAAGGAAAATAATTGGTAACTGCTCGATTTTACGTACACAGAAAATGACAACATTTTAGTTGACCACGAATTAAAGTGTTTGTCTTTATAATTTTAACAAAGACGAAGAATTCGTTTTCAGAAGTAATTTCGTACAAGTGCGCGGTTTTTATTGTTTCAATTCGTCCAACCTTGCAAGTTAATTTAAAAAAAGCTAATACGATTTTCAACCTAACAAACTGACGCGTAAGGCACTATTTCAGGAAAACCTTGCCAATCACGAATTATCTCATGATATAATTTTCAATTCATACGTATTTACATAAACTAGGGGTCCCGCAGTAGCCAAAATTCAATTTTAAATAATTGAAATTATAAGTTTGAACATTATTATGATTCTAATGTCAAAGACTATTAATACTTCTATAATCACAGATTTCGCCAAGACTGCACTATAGACAAATAATATTAAATATTGGCTATATTAACCTATTCTCAATTTGACTACAGACTTTAAGCACGTACGTAATAAATAATTATTTATTCGTAGGTTTATTTTTCAAACTTTTGTTATTGCTTAAAGTCTGTAGTCAAATTGAGAATAGGTTAATATAGCCAATATTTAATATTATTTGTCTATAGTGCAATAAACAAAGAATTGTATATGTTCTTATGTGTGTGTGTGTCAAATACATGGTAGTGTGTGTAATGTTTTTTTTATTGATTCAATGTATTTTTAAAGCATAATTAAAAAAAAAATATTAGCATTCTGCATTCCTTCTCTATATTCTGTATAAGTGTGGGAAATTTCATTCTCCGTCCGCGCAATTTTAGGTGTACAAAGTGTTTGCTTCACGTAATGTATAGATCTACAAGTGCTTGATTCAAAAACAAACCGACTATGTATAACTTAACTTGATGTTTTTATTTTTATTTTTTTATTGCATAGATGTGTGGACGAGCTCACGGCCCATCTGGTGTTAAGTGGTTACTGGAGCCCATAGATATCTACAACGTAAATGCGCCACACGCCTTGAGATATAAGTTCTAAGGTCTCAGTATAGTTGTTACAACGGCTGCCCCACCCTTCAAACCGAAACGTATTACTGCTTAACGGCAGAAATAGGCAGGGCGGTGGTACCTACCCGTGCGGACTCACGAGAGGACCTACCACCAGTAATTACGCAAATTATAAATTGTCGGGTTTGATTTTTATTACACGATGTTATTCCTTTACCGTGGAAGTCAATCGTGAACATTTGCTAAGTACGTATTTCATTAGAAAAATTGGTACCCGCCTGCGGGATTCAAACATCGGTGCATCGCTCGATACGAATGCACCGAACGTCCTATCCTTTAGGCCACGACGACTTCAAAACTGATTGTCATCCTGTGCTGGATATTGGACGATATTTTATTATATCACACGTTGTCAGAGAGATAAAGCAACTGAAATTGAATATGACCTGCTTCAAACCTTGACCCCCAGTTTGCGCATCTAGTAGACGAACGCTCGGCGGCGGCTGCACTGGGATTTGAAAACGCAACGATTGCATCGGCTTTGTCGTCGGCTCATAGGCCACAACTTCACAACTGACAATAATTTAATGAACTATATTGACTGTTTGTTCATAAAACAACTATGCAGTCACTCAAATTACTTTTAGGATATTCTACAAATGTCTATATTATTATACAATAAGGAGCCTTTTTGCACTCCGAATGTTACACCGCGAAATTCAAACAATCAGTGTCTACTCGACTAATGACTGCGTTAACCTTGAAAGAAGGCACATTGCTTTTTAAGGGGGGCGGTTTAATATTCAGAATATTTTACTGATTAGAAAATGTTGATATATGATCTTTTTTTTTGTAGTTATTACCGTCTGTCCACCTAGAGATATCATCAGCATGGTTGGTGGCACATTAACAGAAAATTAATCCGTAAGTCGTGTCACTAAAACCGAATATGATTAACTAAAACGTCAGGCGGTGCGTACTGTTGGCAATGAAACTATCGGTACACTCACGAAAACGAACACTATGTATAATAATAAAAATGCGTTGGATGTGCTGTCCTTGACCGAGATATTTGAATGGAGATGTATCGAGCGTGCGACTGACTGCACCGTCTCCTATGTGTGATTATATTTTCTCTAGCAGCAAAAGTAAAAAAAAAAGAAAGCTGTTTACATAGATAAACGGTCACTGTTGCTCGTGGATATTACTAGTGCTGTTCGTACTTATAATATTATTTAATAAAACTGGAAGAATATTAATTTTACAAATAATAATCAACATTAGGAACAAAAGAAAAATATCCGTAATTTCATTTTAAAATAAAATTTCTTAAATGAATAATCGATCTACGTTAATAATTACAATTATCACGCAAAAAACTGATGAATTCGTAAAATAGCTGTTTCAAATATGAACGCGAACACTGCACTGTCGCCTGACAGACATACTGCGTTATACTAAGCTGAGGGATAATTTTCACAAATTCAATGGTCAGTTTGTCCTACTTTGAAACGAGGATGAAGTTAAAGTTGCGTCGGTACAGCGGCTGTCTCGCGCATCAAACCTAGCCGCATAGTACCCGCGTTCCGTGGTGATTGTCTACGAAATATGACAAAACTAGGATACATGGGTTGGGAATCAGGTAGTTAGGTATGTTGCAATCCGCCATTAAGCCTCATTACAATATTTGCTTCTTTGTGGCTGTAGGTTTGGGTATTGCTGATGTCTTTTGGCGACAAATGTAACCGTAAAAAATGTCATATATTGAAGCGGCGACCTATGAAACGCGCATGTATTGTGTCACTACGACCGGACATAATGCATGAAATCAGCGAGTCGTGTCGAGCCGGCAGCGTCTCGGAACTTGCGCGAGCGTCGCGGCTTGTTTGTTTACCAGTCTATATATAGACGACCTAGACCGGCCCACTGTGGAAACACTAAATTACTGGTGTGCCTATTGATGTTTGTATAAATTAAATGGCCTTATTATGAGATTGGTACGATTATGTAATGCAAATGTCTTGACACCGCGATGCAGAATAGTAAGTGAGCAGCAGCATTCTTTCGTCTTTGAGCATCATACCACCATACTGGTCGGGCGGACGCGGATAGGCACCACCATCCGTACGATTTCTGCTTCGACCTAATCGTGCTCCGGTTTGAACAGCCAAGACAATATGATCTTGTATAACTTGGACCTCATGTCTCTAAGTAGATGATGCCATTCCCGTCATGTACACGGGTACCGTAGTCGTTTGATACCAGATGGGGCGTGAGTTCGTTTGCTCATCTACACCATTAAAAAATAATGTTACATACAACTCCTGCATTCACCTTGTTCATTGGAACTTTCTTCTTTAGTGTCGAGCGTTATAACAATATGCTTCACACTAGTATATTTTATTTCTGTTGTGACGCATTCTCATCTAGCAGTAAACGAAAATGAGAGGTCGTATTTGTAATCATGATCTTTATCGCACGCTAGTGATAATCAAGAAGTTTGAAAATTAAATTAGGTTCAAGTATATAATAATATATATGTACATTAAATGTAATGTTTCTGTAAATAGTACCTGTGTTCTTGCGTTGAGCGAGTTCAAATCATGTTTTGTTTATGTTCAACGTCTGTAGAGCGTTTGCCAGAATTTATGCGAATGTTCGGTTATTTCCTAGCTAGCATTAATCTGCGAAAAGCCCATAAAATTAGCTTGCCAAAACTTTAAGGCCTTGATCGAACGTTTTGTAACCTTTGATACCAATATGTATCTTCGTAAATTAGCTATACTATGTCGCTATGTTACTAGCAATGTCGGTAAATTAGTAGTGAACTTATCATATCGAACTACTATCTAACAGTGTTAATAACTACAACACCTTGTCCACTTATCAACAGCCAATTTTACCTACCCAACTGCCGGCACTTCGCCTTAATTTCTGCCATAGCATATCATGCATTATTGTATTGTGGGATAGCCACTATTTCAATTCACCTGAAATTTGGACCTGGTATTTCAAAGTGTCCCTGCGTTTTCGTATAAGTTAAATGTGATCCAACTACAGTCTAAATTTAAACACTCATTGTGTAAAGTTCAGACTGTCTAAAAATATCATGTTCCAACAAGCTCAGAGAGTAGTTTGACTTCAGCGGTACTCTTGGAATTAAACCCAATGGACATTTAAATTGCGTAGGTCTGACGAAGAAGAAAACCTATCGTTCCCCACTTTCGAATATATCAAACCTTAGAGTATATATAAGCATGTTATATGTATACTCTAAGCATAAAACATAACAGCACGTATATTTTTTCATTCCATATTGAAAGTCGTGGCTTGTAACGGTACAATGGAGGGTTATAAGTTATACCCATATTGAATTTAGCATACGACTACGACTATGTGTACATGGAGTCAATCGCTTCATGTTTCGAGGCTAATATTTGCCGACGTTGCATTGATGCCTCTATAGTTATAAATAGACTGACTCGTTGACGCACTAGTTAGCGCCCTTGACGGTTGCGCTGAGGTCGTGGGTTCGATTCCCACA